ATTTTTTTTTCATTTTTCGAATGAAAATCAGACATTTTTAATTTACTGTTTCGAAGAAAAAATATTATAATTTTATGTTAAGAAACCGAACTTTGAATTACTTGAGCTTATTAATGTTTTATATAACTTGTTTTTTTTTTTTTTTATGATAGGAAAATTATTATATTTTGTTTGGTTTTTATTATAATGGAACATAATTTAATTCACATTTTGTGAATCCTATCTTCCTGATAATCAAAATTAATAAATTAACTATTTATTAAAAATTTAATTTTTATGTATCACAATACTCTAAATTTTTTAGAATCTAAAAAATAAAAAGTTTTACAATTTTTTTTCAAAAATGTAGTTTTACAATGAATTTTAATTATTTATTAGTAAAAAACATTAATCAATTTCAAAACGATAAGTGTTATGCGTTAAAATAATCACTCAATAAATTAATATTTTATATATTCAATAAAATGAATGAACACACAGAGATCAAAATACAAGAATAAGACGGTAAAACACTATAACATGATTTGACATATATTAGTGCATTAAAATGAACTAATTTATAAAATAATGATAAGGAAAATTGAATTTTGAGATAACAATTAAGACATTTATTTATTAAACAAATATTTTTTACGCTTGACTATCAAACTTCACCAAATTTAAGAGACCATTCAATAACGGAAAAGACTAAAATAAGTAAATAAATATACACATTATACATAATATATAGGTTTGCCGTAATCAACTTTAAGTCATTGCATTCTCAACAATTCAATTTTATTTTATATAATGTTGAATTAAGTTTGAAAAAAAAAACTGCATACCTACATAATTGTTGTACGTGAAAAATACTTTAATATAGATGTGGCGATTGATTGATATTTTAGAATTTCATTCACGTACATTTTTCTAGAGTTGTGATACGTTAATATGATCTTTGCTGACCTAACGCAGTGTATTACACAAAGTTACAAAGACCCAAACACGAACAAAATAGTGTAGACTATTATAGGTTACTTTTATTTTTTATTAAAATGCATTGATTAAACGCCAACATTACATTCGCTTTCTGACAACTATAATGAAATACAATATATAATGTAATATAGTATCAATAAATGTTTGAAAATAATATTGCGTATAACCTTATTATAAAAAATGTGACTTCATTTTTTGGAATAGTTAATTAAGGATTGGTATTTATCTTCAAAACAATTTCTAATCAATTAACATAATATTTTGTAGTTCATGTATACCTACTTAGCTATTAGACTAGTTGATTATACTACTAGTTTGTGATTTGTATAATATTTTAAGCATATCAATTTCCATTTTTGGAAAACAAATATTAAGTTTAACAATATAACACTGATTCATATCTTTATTTTACATACATGAATGAATCTATACGCATTTCAAAGAATGAAAATATTGTGTTTACGAAAACACGTATTCACACATTTTTTAGTATTTAAGGAAATAAATATTTCATTATAAATGACAAGTGTATCAAAATTATACTTTTTCAAAAACATACTTCTGAGCAGATGGTCTGCAAGCTCCTCCACGTCTATATTTTTAAATGTTGAATTGTAATTGTATTATTTTAAATATTAAATCGAAACGATTTAATATTGCTTGGTCTTATTGACATGACACATGACAAGTTGTGTAGCTGTATTTTATGTAAGTATCTAAAAAGATTTATAGTACTCTGTTTAAACATTAAGTTGCTTTATTTACTTGAATTATTACAGTTGGAAACACGTCAATTGTTCGCCAAAAATAGTTCGCACAACGGTTGTTCGCGTGACAGCTATTCACGGGAAAATTATTGGAATACGACAATGTTTCGTGAAAAAACAATTACTCGAAGATATCAAAATGATAAGAATTTTGATTATCGTGTAATATATTTTGTAATGTATATGTCAGTGACGATATTACATTTGGTATCTTTAACACCTATTTGATATTTTAGTGAGAAATATTGCTTAATGCAAACACGTGTTAAAATCGTTTCGATAACTTATCGTTATCAAACTTTATATGAGTTATCAAATGGACACAAAAATAGCACTGTTAATGGATTATGCAACACCATTTACAGTAATAATAACACTAATACACACCTGTCATAAAAATCATACAACAGAGCAACTAGTATCATACAATCGGTATTTTGTTCGTCCAATTTTATTTTACTGTGATATATATATATTAAATTACTATGATTTTAAAATACGTAAAACGTGATCAGAGATCAGTGATGCTCAAAAATATACATAAAAACCACGTGTTTTACTTTGAAAAACAAAACACAACAAAAGTTTATTGGAAATGTACAATATATAAAAAATATAATTGCGGTAGTCGTGTTCATGTGGGAAATTACGAGGTTGTCAAATTTTTCGAACAGACTCATGTACCAGATAATACTCAAATGGAGAAAAAGGAATTAATCTCAGAAACTATAAGTCATAAATTCATAGAAAATTCAGCAAGTCTGGTAAATTAAATTATCTAAGTATTATGAATCATAAAATAAAATTATGAATAAGTGCTCGAAACTTGCGCTGTATAATAAGAGTTCAATGTCATATTTTACATTTTTTTGCATTTTTATTTTTATTTGCTTTTTTTTTTATTTGAGATCTTGTAACTATTACCATAATTTATGATTTATATTTTTATATTTATTACGAAATATTTGTCTTGATATTAACTGTAAATATAAACAATGTACGTATTTTTAATTTTTAATGACATTTAATAAAATTGATAATTATTTTTTAAAGCCTTGCTTATATAGAATTTATTTAATTAATTTAAATTTATTAATTTTATGCAATGTGTATATAAGTACTGCAAATAAAATGTTGTTTTTTTTTAGATTCCCTATATCAGTTGTAGCCAATTATCCAGCGTAGCTCGTTTGAAAAAAAAATAAATGTGCTCCTTAAACTAAACTAAATTCTTCTTTAAACTCTTTAAACTTTAATTTTTATATTACAAAGGTATTAGTAACAATTGTTTTTGTTTTGATAATAGATGAAATACAAGAATAATATTATTTTTTTTCGATAAAAAAGAGTTTAAAGTTAATGAATAATCACCTTAGTTGATTTCGTGATAGCACTTTTATTTATTCACTAATTCTGTTCTAATAATTATGTACTATTCACATTGAAAATTATTCAAATGTTATTGATTCTGCTTATATTCTTCATGACAAAAAATAAGATACATATATAAAATATTTAAAAACTCTTAAATCATTAAACTAAAATTTAAATCCCCAGTATATTATGATGGATTTTGAAAAAGCAACGATAAATATTATTAAATCTGAATTTCCAAATACTTAAATATATGAATGTTTTTTTTTTTACATATCAAAATTTATTTGGAACTACTTACAAAAAGCAATGTTACAAAAAAAAAAAAAAAATACACACAAAATTCTGAATGTTCCTAAATATTTGTAAGTTACTTGTCCGGAGCTTGTGTGCCACAGAACTAAGTTATAAAAGACTATAAAAAACTTTTAGATTCTGAATATTTTTATGAAAATAAAGAACTATTATTGCCAAATAAGACTACTGTGAGGGCTCCTGAATTTACCGTTTACATCATAGAAACCATAGAAAAGATCTAACTGTCAACATTAGTGTATAGAATTGTCATGATTCAATAACGATAGACCTTCCACGAATAATATACTAATTCTGTTCAAAGATGGCTCGATTTTTTTTTTCGTCTACACAAAATTTATCCAATTTGGAGACTCATATAAGCACTCTAAAAAGAAGAAAATACTAATATTTTAAAAATTCAGCTTATGTTGTGGTTCAAAACCCACCGTCCAAAAAATTTATCAAAACAAAAGAAAAAATTAAAAAAAAATTATGAACAGATTTTTAACCGTATAACAATTAATTATAGTCATGGTGTTACATACAAATTTCAATTATGAATATAACACTCTGTACTTTCATATTAATGTCCACAAACGTTCTTTCTACGTACGTGTAAAAGTGTAAAACCATTCATAAAAAAAAATAACTCATTGACATTTGGAATTATTATTAACTATGTAAACCTGTTTTTACTTAATTATAATATAAGAAGAAAAAAATGTTAATGTTATGTTTTGAATTTATATAATATGTTGAACTCGCAAACATTATATACACGAACAATAATAATTGTCGTATTCGAACGATTTTCTCGCGTGAGCAACTGTCGCGCGAATTATTTTTGACGAACAATTGACGCATATTTATTATAATTACAATTTTATAGTTTGTATACATAACTATGATGGATGTAAACGGTTTTAAAAAAACAAAATCTACTGAACCCGAATAATTAGATATTCCCAGTCGTTTATGTATTAAATTAAAAATATAATTTTTCTTAGATCTTTTGATGAACTGCGGGTGACAGCATCGATAAGAAACGATTAGAAACGAAATGTCGTGAGTTCACAGGTGTTGTGTATGTACACCAATATTATGCGTGTGACAGAAATAATATTTACTATGATATTGGTTAAAATTATTATTATTGTAAACGCCGCCGTGTGCGTCGACGGTTAGGCTCTCAGTGTACATTACACCAATATAAGGGTGAGAGAGTCGAGAGGGAGCCACACTAGTTGCGAGAGCAATTCATTAATTTACATTTCACCCCCTGACCACTCACGCCACCTTTACCTATACCACCACTAGCGTGATACTCCGCTCAGGACGACGCCACAGTCGATCCCTCCTGCTCACCGGTCGATCACTACCCTCTGCCGTTGATCACACTGCTCTCCTTCGTCGATTACCAACATTTCACCTGGCCCATCCACAACGCATAACCCACTCACCCACACCCACACCTCCCTCCACACACGTCCGCCTGTTTAGGGCGCCGTTCCCGCCCATCTCATTCACAGTCTACGTGCGAATATTAATGATCTAAAAATGTCACTTTGTGTGTGCGTGTGACAGGTACGTCGCTCATCTGTGGAGGCGAGGTAAGCGGAAACTGATCAAAAAGTATCGGGTATGGATGCTGCGACGACAAACCGAAAGGGAGGAGAAGGCGCAGCGGCAGAACGCCACCACCGTCGCGCTCCTATCGCTCAACACTAATAACAACGACAAAAACGGTAAGGGAAAAAATACGCGCCGTCGTCTCTGTGCGATATGAATGATAATAACAACGATAGATAGTATGAGTAGTGGGTACCTACCAGTGATAATAATAACGATGGCAATGGCGGTAATGGATGCGCAAAGTCGATAGCCTTCATAAATTTGTATTTGTGCGAGCTTGTAGTAACTATCATAATCACATTTTGACGTCAATATTTTATTAAATATAAAATTATAACTAATAACAAATGCTATAAAATAACCGTCGTCATAATACATCTAAAAAATACGATTACCAGCATCATAAATTATCATCCAATGAAAAATTGCATTGCTAGAACGAAACAATAATATTAACGGGGGACAATTTTTTTTTTCTAATCCTGTTCATTTTTTTTGTTTCAACAATAGTTTTTTTGTTGGTTACAAAAAATACCAGTAAATGTATATTTTCTTTCTATATATTCTGACCATTAGACAATACAAGTCACCATACCGCCATGCTATCGAATAAAAATTTAAAATTATTTTACGCGTAATTGAATTTGAAAAGATAATAAATACAGAGAAGTGGTCATCAACGTATTTACCTAAAACTATTCCAAATTAAATGGATTTTTTTGTATAATTTTTAATGATTCAAAATTAATTAAATCATATCTAAATTATATATTTTAAACATATATATAGATTATGAACCAGTTACACATATTTTAACCTTGGTATATAATTATTCAATAATTATTATCACTTCATTCACTCCCTAATAATTAAAATAAAAACAGGCAAAGTTGTGAGAATTAATTTGTATAAAAACTATAATATTTAAAAGTTTATTAAATAAAAAATATACATTTGATGAAAATAAACTGTTTTTCATTAGATTATTTAATTCTATAAAGAAAAAAATGTGTTCACTGATCAAATTATTCATTAAAAATAAAATAAATGAAAACTTAGATTAAAGCAACACTTGCACCATCTGAAATAAATCGATTTTATAACTTTATTGTATCCTTACAAAAATTGCTATACCTATCGTCTTACAATATGTAGCTAGAACAGTTCATCTAAAAATATAATACGATATACATAATACTATAGAAAATTTCCACAACAAAATAATAATTTAATTGTGGCCAACGGTCACATTACATATATTTTTTTATCACTATTCGTATGAAACAGTTTTAATATTTTTTAAAGCTTTTAATCTCCTTTCATAAACTACTCTCGTGTTAAAATGTTTTTATATGCTACAATACATGTTCCGAGAACACTTCGATATTAAAAAAGAAACGTTATTATAGGTACCTCATAAAATGATCAAACTTTTAGCCAGACTTAAATTAGGAAAATGGTATAAATAAAGTTGTTCTATATAAACATTGATTAATATACGAAAGTTTTACACCCAACCAATTTGTCTCTTGAGACCCAAAACGTTAATCAGAAACTGACAAACTTGTATGAAACAAAAAAAAGGGATTAATAAATCAATAAATCAATTTTAAGTTTTTTTTTTTCTTTGAAAGCTATCAAAAAATATTAATAAAAACATAAAAACAGTTAATTTTTTAGAAACAAACGATAATAAGTACGGAAATGGTGCAAGGAATGGTGATGAAGAATCGTCTCAGCCAATGCTCCGGTTTATGGATAACGCTCAAATCGATTCGGTAAGTAATGAAACGTAATTATAATACTTACTGCTAACTATAAAATATTTTTAATTGCATCCCTTTTTAAATGTTAATTATTTTATCTTTTATCGTAACATAATCATTTTTATGGGCCTCGGAGTTAATTAAATATTTAAACTATAATATACGATGAATGCTTGAAATTATTTATTTTAAGTACCTACTTATTGAATCTAAACTTGAACTAATAATTTGAAATTTATTTGCAACAAAGTTTTAAAAATTCTAAGCTCATGTAATATTTATTGTACTACATCGTTTGCAAAACGTAACTTGTGTAAAACTAAAAAATAAAATATATTCTTTATTCAGCTATTCCGAAAGATTGTGTTCCTTTGTATTGCGTTAAACGTCTGCATATATTATACACGATAAATTACATACATTTGCAAACGAACAGTGGAAACGATCGCGTAACACGATTTTCCGATAACGCACACCATTTTCCGATAATGTGCATAATTTATCAACATCGAAGGTAACAATAATAATTAATAACGACACGTCACGTTTAAAAAATTATAATCGAATATCATCACGCATATATTAAATTAAATATTAATAGTCTGTACGAAAAAATATGATTTTTCGATCAAATTTCTTTTCCTTTTTTTTTTTTTTCCAACTCCGTGACGCCATCGAGATGTTTTAGTACAGATGAATTTGTACACGTGCAAAAAACTTTGTAAGAGCTATAGAAACGACATATAAACGCTAACGTCGTCGTATTTTGTCGTAGAAAATCTTGAAACGTAGTGTAAACAGAGTATCAACGTAATATTTTTATTCACTGATAATACGTATTATCACTATGATATAGTAGTCGCCGCTATTAAGTCTTTACATATTATGTAGTATATTATGATCGCATGAACCGCACGTATTATGACAAGATTATACATAATATTATATACTATATAGGCATACATTAAAGTATGTAAATACTATTTTTTATGCTTTAAATAAATTTTAAATTCTTAATATATAATTTCATATACAAAATTATGAAATAGATATTAATAACCAAATACCTACTACTTGTATATTTAATTATATAAAGCTTTTGTTAGTTGATTTTCGTGCCTCAATTTAAAATAAACATCTATAGAATAACATATTTTATAGAATATTATAAAATTGTACAAAAATGTCGTACAAAAAAAAAAAAAAAAAAAAATGGTTATTTATCTAGACAAAGTACGGTTTTTAAGAACTCGCACAGATCAGTAACTATAGTAAGTATTGAAAAATATCTGAAATATTTTTAAATTTCATTTATAAGAGTGGCTTCGAGGGGAAGTTTTTTCTTAAATTAATTTTCTCTGTTCATTAAATATGACATAAAACGTATTTATTTTTTTCAAATGCTTAAAAAAAAAAAACCGTATTTAAATACTTTTTCACTCAGGTATAAGGAGTTTTAATAAGCGTATAATGTTTATAATATAAACGAACGTATTATATAGGAGGTACAACGTAACCTCGTACACAATAGAATTATTCGTGATAATATAATATTATTGTTATAATAATGTGTAGATACTAAAATTGTAAAAAAAAAAAAAAAAAACGATATTCCCGCAATAGTATAATATTAAACGAAATCCGAAATAATAATTTCGTAAGTGTCTATGAGCGGGAGAGGGAGAGGGAGATGTGACGTGTTTCGGTGATGGTTTTCTATACAACATACGTATTGTACAACAATAATAATATATACGACGACAGTGACGAGGTTTGATGGACAGTAGCGTACAAATCACACACACACACACACACACATATATATATATACATATTATGTGAGTGTGGGTGTGTGTGTGTGTGTGTGTGTAGGTATGTGTGTAATTATTTATGTGTTTTCCTGCAACGCCCCTCAACCTTTTGATGCAGTAAGCGGAAGGGGGAGTTGTGACGGGCGACACACTTGACCCGAATAAAAAATTAGGGTTTTTTTTATTTTTAATTTTTCCCACCATTGCTGCTTTTCTAGAGCGGGAACCTCCTAAGTCCGGGGTCGACATCCAGCAACGGCGGAATCGTGTCAAGGAGACGGAGTGTCGTGGTGGCTTTCAGCGACGAACTAATTACTAGAAGTGGTCCCACCACTACCGCCGCCGCCGCCGCTGCCGCCGCCGCCGCCGCCACCGCGGTCCCGGCAAACTTCGCACTTTGTTCGACCGAGAAGACGACGCAGACGGTCGAAGGGACAGCGTGGAACACATCTTCCTCCACCAGTACCACCATAGTAGCACTGGTAAATCAAAGAACCGCAAATAACCGCAAATACCACACTCACTGACACGTACACGCACACGCACACACACACACACACACACACACATCCATTGATACTCACAAACGTGCACTACATTCACCAAAACTTGTACACTCGCGCACGTACGCACGTCTGCAACTGCGATTTGATTTGAATCGTAATAATATATATTATTCGTATATCGTGATGGTGTTGGCGCCTACCCGTGTCATATTGAAAATGGCCGTAAACAACGCTCTAGCGTACATCGGACGAAAGACGAGGAGCACAAGAAACACGTAAGACCGTCGACTTCAAGAAGCGCCGCCGTGAGAAGCCGGACTTTTGAAAATCGTTTTTCGACTGTACTCGTTTCTATGTGACGTACAATCGTACCGTTACGCGTGTGTCCGGTTAAACCACGGATTCACGATGACGAAATGGTTTCGACCACAATAAACCTACTATACCTGAGTCTCGCGCGTCGTTTACGAAGTTCGCACGACGCCTTTATCACGAGTTTATTGTACCTACAGCTCTTCCGCGTATTCGCGTGAACCTTATATTGTAGCGTATAGTAGTACCTATGTATTTCACCTTGATAATATTAACAGTACATTTGTAATGATATTTTATGCACATTGTTCGTGTTCGTCAACGATAATATAGTTTTCACGTTTCCGTTGCACAAACAACGCTATCGTATTAACAAATTAACATGTTATTTCAAGAGCTACATTATAATTTATTGTACCTAATCGGCCAACGTTTTTTTTTCCCCCCCATTTTCCACAGAAATGAGCGTGAGCTTTCGAAAGAATTATTAATACATTGCTCACGGAAAGCTGTTTAAAAATTAAACGTGTTATATTTCTCTACTCCAGGGAAATTTTGGTATTCATTAATGTATAACATGCGTTTAATATTGTTCGACCGTGAAATAATATTATGATAATTTTCTGTTCAAAATGTGAAATATCATTTTAAACACACGGAAATAGTTTATGGCACTATTTTTTTCTGTCGAATCTATTATTAATATGATATATTAAAATTAAATTTAAAAATCCTTTTCTTGGAATCTAAAATATCCGCAAACACTGTAAACGGTACCACCTAATTCACTCATTATACGGGATAATTCACCAAACATACTTATTCCCATTTTTTCCTGTATTCGAATGTAACTTTTTGGAACTTTTAAATACCTATTATTAAAGATAATACAATCAATTATCAAGATTTGTATACCATTCAAATCTTATGTCAACAGTGACTCCTTTCTGTCAAATAAAAATCAACCTTTTTCACTATAAAATGTTTATCAATTGATTTTTTTAATTTTTTTTTTTTTTTTTTTTGTGTAATAATATATTTTGTATTTATTATCAATTATAAAATTTTGATATAAATTACTCTAATGTTTAAATCATCAAAGCTCCTATATTTTCCAAATAATCCAAATCCATTATAATGGAGTATTTGGATAATTATTAGTCTTGGTACACAAAGTTAAAAAATTCAAAATTATTCATTATAATTTCAATGTAGATAACTTAGTCATTTTCAAAAAAGTTATCTAATTAAGCATAGTAAAGGTTAATACTCATTTGAAAAAAAGAAATTAATATCACCGCAACACAATCCTTAGAAGGTATAAAAAAATCTTAATAATTAAAAATATTATCCTTATGTATAATCTCTAAAAGCTCCAAAAAGTCAGAATTTGAATAAATTTATTTTAAAGGAAAAAAATGTGGTTGAGCATGATTAATGAATTACGCTGTATATAGATAACAAAATAGTTTATTTATATAATATTTTTAATGTAGTACAATATAATATATATATATATTTAAAAACATTGGCGTATTACATGTTAAAGAGTGGTGTCTATTGTGGTGGAGACGAGTTACGTGCGCACGGCTCATTTAACATGGTTGACTATACGTAACAATACTCTGTAAACGCCAACGACTTTGTTGCCTTTTGTAACTTTGATGTAATTGAATAAACTCGGTTTTGACCACCGCCACTCTCGTGTTGCATCGACATCGTTCACCGTGTAATAGCAGTACATAAAATACGATATAATACTAAAATGATATTTTAACTGTGTATCCTAGCTAGGTTGCCTATCAAATGTCGAAAAACGTGCATGCATATATAAAACAAAATAATTAAAACGGCAATGCACGAAATTAATTGTAACTATTTGAAAATAGCGAACACCACTTTGATAGCAAATACCTATTATCTATTATTGGCATACTTGACATCATTTTAATAGCTCATTGTATGTATTTATTGACTGCAGCGGTTCGTAGAGCCCTTTCGCATGTATGTATTACGTAGCAATATAGCATGACTGTAGTAGACATATTCTCCTATTACTAATAATACAAATACGTTATATTATGTGTTCGTATCAGTATCAAAGTGTTGATCCTCGCACCCAACCACTGAATATAGTTTATGCTCGTCTACACATAATTTCTAAAACTATATGAAATTTATAATACTTTATGATAATATTAATAGTTTTAACTTTTAAATTATTTGCATAAATTAGCTCCATAAATTTAATATGGCAGATTTTAACATTCAATTGTTATTGTTCTATTTTTAATTTATGTAAGCAAAAAACACAATAAATCAAAATAACTGTAGGATCTTTCTAGTACAATAACAATATTACAAAATCGTAATTTAAACATTTTAATTATACAAGTCGTTTTTTCCGAGGACAAAATTGGTGGACGGGTTGGCACCCACCCAGTACTCAAATACGTATATTATGATTGCAAAAAACAATAATGACCATATATTATGCACGTAAATGTACATATTTTATAATAATTACGATAATCTGGTGTTATAGAATAACGCCGTGGCCGATCCCGAGGACCAGGACATGACGTGTCAGGAACTCTTAGCGATCAGCGGTGCCCTGTCGGCAGCCTTGCCCACCGGACAATCAGCTCTGTCGTCTCTGCTTAAGGCACTCGGCAAGACTGGGGGTTCCACCGTGGCGAACATAGTCCAAAACGTGAATCGCACCACCAACAACAGCAACATACATAACAATAACAACAACAGCCATAGAAACAACAATAGGACGAAACGTCATGCGCTCGTAAGTTGACAAATACCACCTAATCTGTTCCGATACGAAACGTTCCGGAACAGTTTACGGAGCCGTGTATCGGAACGACATAATAATAATAATGACATTATTAATATTTTTCTCGATCGTGTACTTATCATAATTTTTTCTCATCCCCCCCTTCTTACTATCATCACCTCTGCAGATGGACAGACAATCGGACGGTGAACTGATGATGGACAATGACCATTTGGAGAGTAAAAACAAAGCGTGCCTCACCGACGCGATGGGTTGCCTGCAGATTTATTGTCTGGTGGGTTGTTCCCTGTTGAGAGAGTGTATAAAGCTCCTTGTCAACCACAGACGGTTCCAGCAGTGTATTTTGTTAGCAATACTTATCAACACGCTCAGCATGGGCATAGAGTACCACAATCAGGTAAACGTGGCACAAAACGATTTACCTTTACGCTATTATTTATTTATTTCACAATACTTTATTTTTATTTTTTTGTCCTTGTCATTACACGTCATCACACCACCATACGTGCATCCAAATACTTATGTTTCTCAATAACATCTGAGACCGATACTATAATTTTGACAAATAATTCTTAAGCGTTATAAGTTATTATTTATGTTATTTACGTATTTAATATGTATATCACCGAGTTCCTAAAATAAAAGAAACATTAAGTTACCCGCATAATAACTAAGAACGAATGACGTCATTCGATATTATACGGTGTAGAATATTAGACTCGATTAAAACAATTGTATTTAATTGTATTTTTGTATATTATACAGTTTATTATTTTTAGTTTTTATTCTACTTCATAAGCAAATTCTTTACAGACCATAATATAGTGGGTTTAATTTTTTCAATTGCAATGTCTTTTTTAATTAATTTTTTTGTCTGTACTTATTTTTTTTTATCATATAATTTAATAATAGTAACTAAAAGTAAACGCACGAATAAAAAGTTAAAAACTAGTAAAAAAAAAATACATAAATGAATATTTAAAAAAGAAGTTTTAATAAAATATTAAATTGTACTGTCATAAGTAATTTAATATGTCAGATACTCATCATACGATTCGAATCTCAAACTATAAAGATTACGAATGGTTAAAATTATTATTGAAATTAATTATTCCGAGTACATTTTATAATACATTAAAGTTGTTAAGCCCAAAAATAATACAATATTATTCAAGAGTTAAGAACTAAGATAATAAAATATTGAATAAGCCAATGTGAAAGGCAGATTAATGTCCTTAACGTAGAGGTAATGAATTTGCCTACACAGATCGCCGTCATATAAATATAATAAGTGTAATTGTCTACTGTTAGCAATGATTACCATTTAATACTATATCATATTTTATTAAAATTTATTTTTAGCCTACCGAGCTTACTGTAATTGTGGAATATAGCAATATTGTTTTTTCTGCAATATTTGCCGCCGAGATGTTTTTGAAGGTAATCGCCGAGGGACCATGCGGTTACATCAGTAATGGTTTCAACGTATTCGACGGAATCATTGTCATATTAAGGTATATTCACAGTTCATTAGTTCTTTTCAAAAATGATAATAATGTTCATCAATACATAGAAAGGTAATAAGATTAATAGAATTCTATGTCGATCAGTTGTATAGTGTTCACAATCTAAAAAAAAAGTAACAATGAACAAACCGAACTCGTTGTCACAAAAGAAATGTAAAGATAATAATTCCAATAATACCAGATAGATTTCATTGTAGTCTTGTTTCTCAATCAAAATGATGACTTTTATTTATGTATCAAAAACTAAAAGTTATCGAGATGAACCGCGCAGATTGAAATGATTTTGTTTGAACATAACTTTCATACAATTATTTTTTTTTAACCCATTCAACATTCTCTTTTACTTACATGATATACGTTTTAAATAAATTTCAAATAATTCAATGCACCAATTATTAGATATGATTGGATTTGATGAATTATGTAGAAAAATTTTTAACGCAAAACTTGGGCTTTGTTTTATCAATAAAAATTATTAGCTTTTGTTATCTAATTAAAATATACCTGTTTTATTTATCAATATTGTTGCAGGTTTTTTTTTCATTAGCATTATTTCTACAAAAAATTAAAAATGTATACGTTTAAAATACGTTATAAATAAATAAAATCACTTTAACTTTTTAAAGACTGTATGAGTTGTACAAATTATCAACTGTAATTACTAAAATAAAATAATTAAACTATTTCAAAATAATTGTTTTTTTTTTTGCAATTCATTTTATTTAACAACTAACCATTATAAAATAAAATACTAAATATCATTATTTTGAACCTTTTTGTTTACAGTATAGTGGAATTGACTCAGTCGTTCGAAAACACTAGTGGACAGCGGGAAGGCAATTCGGGGCTAAGTGTACTGAGAACATTTAGACTACTAAGAATATTGAAACTTGTTCGATTTATGCCGAACTTACGTCGTCAACTGTTTGTCATGCTCCGTACCATGGATAATGTTGCAGTGTTTTTTTCACTCCTAATTTTGTTTATCTTCATATTCAGGTAAAACAATTAATCACTTGACGAGTTTTTTTTTTTTTTTTATGCAACTAATCAAGTTTTTAATTTAAATAATAATAAGCCATTCCTATTGGTTTAATTTATTAACCACACGTTTTTCCCTAAAAATAAACAAAAATTGAAACATACCATTAATAGTTAAATATAAAATTAATTCCAAACTATCGCGGAGGTTATTAGCATGATATATTATGCGAGTTTCGTTGAAACAAGGAGACGCCGCCAACGTTCGACGACGACTAATTTTAAACAGTGAAATATTAGGTTATTTAATTATATTTAGTTTTCGGTTTGTTTGTCTTATTTATCCTGCAATATGTTTATTGGTTAAAATACTCAACATTTTTACTATAAAAATCCAAAAATTATCTGTGAGTCGGATTTTCGCAGTGACAGAGGTCGAAACAAAACATCTCTACAGGGGAGTTTGTTATTTTTGTCTCGATGAAATCCCTCGTCAAATTCAATTTGTCAGTTACACATTTTTATCTCACCACGCTCGCTATATTTTCTGCAATCATAGCAGTGTAGCAAAAGGAGGGTAGAAGTGACCATTATATATATTTATATATACATGTATCGGGCATAGTTCTCTTACCCGGGGGACAATTTACACGACGAAAGATAGAGAGGTAGAGAGAGTGACAAATAAAGAGATAGATAGAGAGAGAGCGCGAGCGCAAACCATCTCGTTTCCCTACAAGCAGTTATGGCGTGTGCAGTCACGTTTTTTTCTCCGTTATTTCTTGACAATTTTTTTATTTTTTGAAATGATATTGTGAGACAGCATTGGCGATTTTTGTTTTTGCCATTTTAGAATAGTATATTCAAAGATGGTGTGTTTTATATTTATTTACGTACTATTATAATATTATGAGCGCATCGTATTTCAAAAGCAAAACTTTCGAGAGTATCGCCACCGGCACCGTTTCATCGGACTTTCACAATGCCTATTTAATGATGCCGCTACCACTTTGTTATTACGGTTTATCATTACCGCGAAACAATAAACCGAGAAACACTCAAATATGTCATACGCCTAATCCAATTTTCGCAAAGCGCCCGTCGTCATACCATTGTAAACACATACACAACTGATATAATTCACATTATGTGACGACTATACGACCGTCTAAAAATATGTGTGAAGATGCGTCAAAACAAGTTACTACCGTTTTGACAGTGACGTACATAAGTAAACGAAACTATAGAAAGTGATTTATCAAGAATGCCGATCACCATATTTATTGTTATACGTACAGGTGTTTTTTTTTTTTTTTTTAAAGCCACTATATTGCCAAATAAAAAGATAAGATCTCAAATCACCCATATAACACAACCACATAAAGTACTATAATGGGTGTTTGTGCATGACTTTTCATTTTGTTCATTTTTGTTCTCGTGGGATTTTCAAAATTAACCACTGAAAAATCAATCAATAAGACAAGTAATGACAAAACCTCTGTTACATGTTATTTACTAATGTTTTAAGTATTCTTTTATTTTAACATTCAATGCATTGATATTTTTGCTCTTTTTCTTAATTTCATCGTAAAAAAAAAAAAAAACAATATATAGTAATCAAATCAATTTAGAAAACAACATTAATTTTATCGTGTTTACAAATTTAACCAATAAATTAATACTTCGATAATATTTTAATATTGACTCATTGTCTGACAAACTTTTAAATATCGACACGTTTTGAATTAAAAAACTTTTAGCAAATTTTTTTATTGGCTTATTGAATTATTTACGTTTGTTTTTAATATTTATTCGCGCCAAAATGTATACACAATAATAATTATCATAAAACTTATAAGACTTCAACAAAATTACATTTTGTTCAATATAATGAAACCTGGGCTTAGTATTACGGATTAATGAGAATACGGATGAAACCAACGGTTAACTTCAACTATTGAGAATTCATGAATACAGCATTTTTGTAGAACACAAAAACATAATATTATTTGATGATATTGAACATGAGTATGATTAAAAGCAACAAAATTCATAGCAAAAAAAAATAAATAATTTACAAAACGATATATCTTGTCTTTTGTTAATTATTTTTCACTATCATCTTGAATTACATTTTTCATGTAGAATCAATTAGCAGTTTGTTTATTCTTCTTTTTTTTTCTTTCTTTTTTTGTATAAAAAACAATGACAATTTCTCGTCTTCTGTTTAATTATTTATCAACAGTTGTAGAACTTTATTTTTTTAGTAATTACTATTATTATTTATATTGTAAGAAATAAAATATTATAATTTCATTTTTTATGATATAAAATTAATTTTAATAAATATATAACTTATTTAAGTTCAAAATAATATAATACAATATGTTATACGAAGTATATTATTTTAACTTGATCTAGTTACACGAATACTTAAATAAATCTTTATTTAACACAAATAGAATTTACAATATAAATACAATTAACTATTAACAATAACATATTACGTACGTGTTAGGTAAAAATCTCATTTTAATTTAAATTAATAATGTACTTACTTTTAGCCTTTTTTACCATACAACCAAACAATAAATTATTATTAAATATAAACTTTTGATTATTTTTTTACTACAATTTTACAAAAGGTTAGTTATTATTAATGCCATATTATTCAAAAATTTCCAATTAATCTATACTTGCTCTTGTTAGGTACTTAAAATTTAATTGATTAATTTTTCACAACTTATACATTTAAGCCTTCAAATCCAGTTCTATAACCTTTAAAAAATATTAATTTAAAATCATATTGTTATGATGATACATGTATATCACTTAATAATTAATAAGAAAATCACCACATATAACTCTGAGAAATTTAAACTAAGAACTACAATCGATCAAAGATTTGTATTTTTACTTCTCTCATTTATTTTGATAGAACTTTAGTCAAATACAATTCGCCAGTAAACTCAACAGCATGGCAATCACAATAAACTCAAGCCAAAATGTAAATTGATTAATGTTTGTTTAATCAGAAATCGATACTGTAGCGCTTATTAGAGTCTAGTAAGGTTTAGTACTGATGGTATTTGAATTAATCTTGACTTTTTAAATACCTTTGTACTAATTTCCTTTTACCTGAAAAATTTCTCTTCAAACAAATAACTTAAATCATTAAAAACTTTTTCGGTTGTTTAAACTATCGACTTATGTTTTCTGACATATTTTTTTTTTTTTTATTTCAATACAAAATTAAAATACATTAACATAATATAATAAATAACTCCCGTTTTTTTAGTTGAGTTCTCCATAAGTTTATATTATTATTTATTTTATATGTATGATTACTACATTTAGTTATTGTAATTATTTAGGACATAAGTATATGAATTAAATATTTTAATAGATAAATCTATCTTGTTACAAAAAAATAACTAGGGTTTTTAATAATTAATAACTGGCAACTGCCTATTTGTAATATCTTTTTACAAAATACTGAAATACATCTTATATGAGGAGAAAAACAAGACCATTCAATGAGATTAAATCTGGCGTGTTTTTATCTTGTTTAGATTCAAGAGGAGCTATAAATATACTGATTTAAAGATGGCGCGATTTTTTTTTATATGTCAAATAACAATGTTTACAGTAAATAAAATACTTCGATCTTAAATTTAGAGTGTTATTTCTGTACACAAATTTATCTAGTTGGTATATTTATAGTGAGAAAGGGGGAATTCTGAAAAAACAAGACTATTTACACCAGTCTTTTAACAAAACCGTTTTTTTTTTTATTTTATGTTATAAATAAAAAATTAATATCCTTATAAAAGGTACTTGAAATGTTCGATATGATAAATATTTCAAAATATTTTAGCTACTTATCAATTAAATAAATTGAATTAATGATTATAATTTGTTAGAGTCTTATGAAAGTCATCATAAATTGGAAAAATTCGGTAATTATTTTTTAGTTGATATTTATAGCATTTAATAATCAATAACTTTTTTAGAATTCAAATTTTAATGACTTATGATATTTTAAAAGAATAATGGATATCTATAATAATACAGTAAACAGAGATCCTCATTTTTTTTTTTCATTTTTTTTAAGGGTAACCATGCCAATTTTATATTAAATTTTATGATAACGATTGTAATATTTGAGTTATACTTAAAACTAAAAAAAAATAAAAATAATAATATAAATTTTGGTTATATATTTGTAATGTAATAAGTAGATTAGAATTTCTGATATAATTTTACGCAGAATATCAATACAGTTTAATAATTTAAATTTCTCGTTTTGTTTTCATAATAATAATACTATCATTTAGATTAAATACAAAGTAGGAAAATCGATATATTTTAAAATGTTGACTATTGCCGTTCGTGTGGCATTTGAATTAATTATCATTAAATATAGCAAAATGGTGAGATAAAATCTGTTTTGTGTCATGTCTGCGTACACAATAAAGTTTAGTGTATCCACCATACAATTCAGATTGCATACTAAGCTTCCATAATATTGCAGTTATGTTCTTCCATGAGAATTGAATACATATTGTATACATATTTAATTAACCGTTATGAATTCAGATTAGAATTAACAATTAATATTTTTGTAGTATACTGGGCATGAACTTATTCGGATGTAAATTCTGTAGCCGAAAGAATGATGGAACAGGGGATGATGTAGCGTGCGACAGAAAGAATTTTGATTCGTTGTTGTGGGCGTTAGTCACGGTGTTTCAGGTACCTGGAAAGATTTCCGGTTATTTAAAATGTATTGAATCTTCCTCTCAAGTTTTCTATCTTCCTGTTAAAATTGCAGCACGTGACATATAATACATTTTTACAATTAACCCGTTTGTGCAAAAAAAAAAAAAATTTAATAAAGAAAGAAAATTATTAATTTTCCATGTAAGTGAAACACGAATACCTATTTAATTTTGGTAGTCTAATATGCAGAAGAAAAGTAATGAAATAAAAATGAAACGCAACGGTAACTCTGAGTATCCAAAATAGATGCAACGTTTTAAATAAATATTTTTAAAATCATTTTAATTATTTTGAATCTATTTTTGCCTGACCTATTTTTTATATATTGAAGTAAGATAAAATAAAATTTGTAATTATTTTCAACGGCAAGCATATAAAAAAATTATGTTGTAAAAAAAAAACCATTACCAGATGACGTAGCATTAAGAATTCATTCGATAACACAACGTTTATATAATAAAATGCTGTGCAAACCATTAAAAAAATATATATATTTATATATAATCAATACAATTGTACTTTCGATGTCTATAAAATAAAATATAATGTAAAGTATAATATAATTTATTAAAAAAGAAAAAAAAATAAAGTAAATAATTGTATTGGTTCAAATTTCAATGTGTTTTTTTTACAGTAGGTACTTTTCATTAATTTTTCACATTTCCAGATAAATTCAAATTATACTTAATTAGTAAAAATATTAAACACAAATTAACATTTAAACATTTTATTAATTAATTATTTTAAAATATTAGATAAAAACTTCAGTTTAACAGGAAAACAAGACTTTTTTCATCAACCTTTGTAAAACGAAAACCTATATAAAGCTTTACCGTAAATGTATGAAGTTAAATATTTAATGATGCTCTCTCGACATGTATTTTATTGTTTTTGATTAATATGTTGAATAATAAATTAATGCTTTAGACGGTTTCAAAAAATAATTTTTTGTAATCTCATCTCTAGGTTTTTGTAAGAAAAATCTCGTAATGAACTAGCATTAGAAGAAATTGAAAATTCCGTCGTAAAGTACATAAATATAGTGCCCATGAGAATTCTGGAAACCATTTTGTTATGCTATTAGTTTTAGTATAAGACTCTATCTTTAGAATCCCGGTGGACAATGCTAAATCAATTACAAGGTAATATTAATATAATATTGTGAGCAAAAACAACACGAAATTTAAATTATTTTAAATTTAATGGTTCTAGGAACAATTATCGTGATATTATAATGGTTGTAATTATTATTGTTATTCCGATTTAATTTTGCACAAACGAGGTTCTTATGTAAAGTGTAGATAGTGAACATTTTAGCTGCGTTGTGCATTTTCAGCCATTAACTTATATTAATAAAATTAATCTATACATATAACATATAATTAAAATATATGGGTCAAATTAAAATTAAATCTTGTTTTTTTAAATTTTTTCATATTCTTTTTTTTTTACCTAACGCTTTGGCTTTGCACACTTAAATAGGATTTCAAGTTTAATTCTAACACTTAATATACTGTAATTAACATCTCTGTTGCTATCTCATTTTAATAAAAAAATGAGGGCAATCGGATAAAAATACGATGTCTATAATTTTTAATGTGCATCGAAAACCGTTAAACCAGCATTTTATCGAACAAATACTTTAGATGCCAAAACTCAATTTAAATATTATATATTATAAGTAGTATACGCACAAGCGGATTTTGATATTTACGGTAAACCCATAAATATCACGTGTACGTATTTAAGTGTTTTCGTCCCTGTTGAAACCAAGTGTGGATATGCATTGTGCAGTTATAAAACCTCATTGTGCATTATAAAATACTTGACAAGAAAATCTTCCGATTTCTATTTTATTTTTTTGTGCAATAAATCTTAACAATTTTATATTTATTTATATGTGTATTTTTCACATAAATTGTTATCGACCTGCTCTTGAAAAACTGTCTTTTTTTTAATACCCGTGGATCATATATTTTATGTGAAGTTAAAAAAAAAAAAAAACTAAAATACTAAATAAAGAGAGAAAGTTTACGCCCAATGCACATTTTCCAAATGTTTCAACAGGTGCAGAAAAAAGCACATAAACCTATGTACTCATACACGCATAGCGTAAAACTTAGAAACTTAAAAAAAACACTATGACACACCCGTCATAGATCATACCAATATATTATATAGACTTGTAGTAAGTCCTAAATAGCAATAAATAGGTTATTAATATTACACTATTAGACAAATTATATATTTATAAATATTATTATACGATATATTTGTAAACGATTTGTATTTTTATTATTATAGTCTAATACTTAGGAAGTATTCACTTTTATTATATTAATTATAAATCATCAAACTCGCCTCTGTCACTCTGAACTCGTCCTCGTGCTACTGTTAGTCTTGCATGATCGAATCAAACGATTTGTGATGTTACATTATTATTATTATTATTTTTTTTTTTTTTAACGACTATTTAGTATTAAAACGAATTATTAATAAACTTCAGAATTACAATAACAATATAGTAAAATTTATCTTATCCGTGTAACATACACATAAAATGAAACAATAGATGTACATACACAGATGATTTTCGCCTTCAAAAATATGTAAGTAAAAACTTAAACACGCAAATCACATATCACATATACATAATACGTGATAATTGATGAAACGAAATGTTATCAAATGTTTGTAAACGTTCATGACTTTTATCAACGCGTAAATAATGAAACAAACAAAATTGACAATCAGCTGATAATTCGTAAAGGAAAAAAATTATAGCAAAAAAATAAAAACATAGAAATATTACAAAATAAAATAAAATTGTAATTGTTTAAATTCATTTTTTTTTAACTAGTGCCTACCTATTTATTTTACGTAGAAATACATTCTTTGCAGCATTCTCGGAATGTATCTTTTTGGTGGTAAGTTTTGCATGTACGGGAACGGAGCCCGGGAATGCAACTGCAAAGAAATTGTCACTAAACATCCCCTGTGCGTCTGCGATCGAAAACATTTTAATAATGTATTATGGGCAACAGTCACCGTCTTTCAAGTAGGTCATCAAACACTTAGATAATTGTAATGTTCAAACGCATTTTACCATTAATCTATATGACTTCATCAAATTCTAATTTATAACCGTAATATATAAATATATTCACATAAGTTAATAACAAATGAACATTTTTTTTTTCAAATGTCTAAAAAAAATACAAATACATAGTTATACGTACAATTATTGATAACTGTAAGTAATAATAAAATATATCAGTAACTTTTGCAGAACTTTTAGTGGTACAATGTCAGTATTACTTTTATTGATACAAGCAAACATTGAACTTTCGTATAAATATTTCGTAATAAACCATATTAAAATCAATTTATTTATTTGAAAACGATATTTATGTTTAAAAAAAATTATTAGAGAGCAAATAAATGCATTTATAAATTAATTTTGTAAAATAACAAAAATAAAACGTATTCGTTACATTAAAATCAAAACACGTGTTTAATTTTTAATACCATTGTTATATTTAAACAATACAGAATATACCCACTATACCCACTACTCAAATTCACGATACAACTAACATGCTTTTTGTTACTAGACATTATATATAATCACCATTATCAGAATAAACATGAGCATGTAATTACTATGATATATTTGTAACGCAACAAGTTAAAAATAAATATGAGACACAATATAATATTTTAATAGCACAAACAAATTATAACTTGAAATAACTATTCCTTTTTTAAAACAAAAAACAAAATAGTAGGAAAAATATTTTTAAACATGTTTAAACATCATGAATGTACTGAAATTAATTGTTAAGTATACCTACCTACATTTTGTCTGAATTTTAACCACAGTAAAATGCGTTTGTACTACATGATAGCTTTTATTCCTAAGTATTTTACCTTTATCTGCCTATGTTATAAAATGAGAAGATCCACATGATATGTAAATTTTTTTTTATTTCTTTATTCGATTAGTGAAACATTGAAACCATTTCAATACTTCCAATGGTCGTACTATGCTTTTAGTGACCTACTTCACGATTGTGCTTCTAACAACCGCTTTTTTTTTTATTACAAAATTATAGATTCAGAATTATTATTTTAGTATTTGTTTCAACAACACTGCTTATAAAATCGGACCTATAAACTGATTTCGATACACATAAAAATATATATAAATTATAATATTCATCCAATACACTAAAATACAACAAAATTAATTTTACAATATTTTGAACATTGCATTGCACGTTATCGAATCTATAATAAGATAATAAATTCTTAGTTTAATTTCCGAAATATGTGTTTTTAACGATTTTAAACGTTATTATTTATTTTTACCTCGGCACAGATTCTAACGCAAGAAGACTGGAATATAGTGTTGTTTAACGGGATGGAAAAAACGAGTCATTGGGCTGCTCTTTATTTCGTGACGCTGATGACTTTCGGCAATTACGTGTTGTTCAATTTACTGGTAGCAATTTTGGTTGAAGGATTTTCTTCAGAGGTAATAGCTACAGTTGGAAAAATTGCATAGTTTCATACGCTTTGTAATAAACAAAATATAAAAACAATTCTTAAAAATTACATACAGTAGAGATTCTTTTGTATTTGTTAGTTTTAAGTTTTGTACAACCGTGTACCATTTAACACTTTTGTAAGTATATTATACCATCGAGTTTATTAAACTTATATATATATATATATATATCAAAGTTATAAACCGCAAATCTTTTAATATTATAGCAGTAAGCACTTATTATTATTCTAAAAAATATTAAATTTCTTCACATTTCATTTTTGAAATGGTTTTATCAATAAAAATATAAGCATTAATATTTTATTTATATCTTTTTAGTAGTATATCACACGTTTTTTTTTTATTAAACAATTGATACTATTCATTTCTATAGTCAACAATTTAAATACCTAAATCACCAACTATTACTTCAATATTTCATATTTATACATTATCGTTAATATAAAAAGTTTTGTAAAAAAAAAATTAAAAAAAATATATAAATTATTATTTAAAAATCAAAAAAAAAAAAAAAAAACGAATAGGTATTACAATTGTATTTACTATTACGTCAATTTTTTTTTTTTTAAGAAAATATTAATGAAACTTATTACATTTTTAAATTATAAACTCAACATTTATCTATGTAATATGAATATGTATACGTAAATACAGTAATTATGTTGTAAATATTCTAAATAAAAAAATTCATTAGCAATATAAGCTAAAAATATTCATTTATAAACTTAAAGTCAAATAACGAAATAATCATTTAACTTGCATATACAATTAAATAATAATATAATTATTAAAACAAAAAAATAAATATTATAATTATTTATTGTTTAATGATATTTCGGTATGCATTATTTCTACACAATAACGTTTAAACAATTTATTTATAAAATATTCGATTATTAATTTTTGAGTAATACATGAATTAGTTGATGTACAAATCAATGTTGTATAATTTGGGAACAAAATCATTTTAATGGACAATGTTATTAAATTTTCAGCGTAATGAACGCAGAGAAAGAGAACGACGGGAGCTCGAGAGGCAACAACAGTCATCGTGGTGCAAATGCACCTGTTCGTGTTATGGTGATGACAAAGGGGATTGCGAAATGTGTACAGACAAAAAAAGTCTAAATGGAAAACCAAGTACTGAATTGAAAATTGAAAATCCAAACAAAGAAATTATAACCAATAAATGTAATACGCACAGAGGTAAGTTAAAATATAATTTTATTTGAAAACACAACTATAAAAATTAATACAGTTTTTTTAACATGGTTTTATTAGTTATTAGTTATTATTTATTATCTTACGGTAATTAGAACAACAATTATTCTTTAGATTTATAGGAAGATGATATATTATTCGTAATTATAAGTCTGTCAAGTTTAAGTCGTTATCATTATATTCTATTGGTATAATTACTTATTTGGTTGTAATAACAACCAAATAAGTAATAATAATAATAGTAATAATAATCGACGTAGAATATAAATTTAATATTTCAATATTGGAATTCAAACACTATTCCTACTCGACAATTTAATTAACTTTGAAGATTAATAATAATGTGTGATTTACAAAAGATATATAATAAGTAATATAATGTTTAACGTTGGTAAGTGCTGTCCTGAAAAATTGAATCTTGAGTTTAATAACCTTATTAGTATGCAATAAAAAATCCGCTACTTTAACCACGATTACATCAGTTTTAGTATAGAAACTAATTGTAATTTTTCTCATTACACGTTTGTAAAATCATACACTTATTTAGGATCCTTAACATAATACTACGAAACGTTATTTGATATTCTAAAATAATATATATGTTTATGTATCATTTATAAATATACATCAGTTTTTATTCAATTACTAAGAAAATAAAACAACCACAAAAATTAATATTTATGAAATAAAAATGGTTTTCATGTTTACAACAACGTTATTCCTTCATATTACGCATCAATATCATAAAAATACCTTAATCTACAAAAAACTTCAAAGATATATTCAAAGATACATACTTAATTTGAATGAGGAATATGTTTGATTTATTCTATATTTCAATATTCAATAATTAAAATGTATAATCGTATATAAAAGAGTTGGTGAACTAATATACAGACTAATTGCGAATAAGACAAAACTAATTCGATTAGTTTAATCTAAATTGGAACAAGTTTTACAAACAAAATATATCTTCTTTGTGCTCTAAACTTCGACTACTATTATTTATTTATATGTAAAGTATGTACTTTTCTTCTCTCCGATAGAATTCAAAACTTTATAAGAAATAGACAAAAGGTCTTGATAAACACACACGTACCGTATATGCCGTAAAATATCTTCATAATATTATTATGACAATCAATATATTAAACTCTATTTAACAAACATTTCACTTTATTTCAATTGAAAAACTATGCAAATTGGTAAACTTTTTTTAACTACAATAGTTTAATAATTTAAATTTTTTTGAAATTATTCCTGTTAAATGTTCTTAAATTTATAAATATTTATACCACACATAATAATACAATTTATTTTTACCTATTCAAAGTATTTGAATAGATGAGAAATAAATAAGCATTTATAACATTTTTTATTTTATTTAAAAATCGATATGACAAAATACTAAATAGTATAAAAATATATCAATTATTTTGATAAAACAATTTAGTATTTTATTCTTTTAATGGGTTTTGATGACATAATATATTAACTGATTGCTTTTCTTTGATGTATTTATGAACATCATGACATGGAAAATGTAATGCCTTATTTGAAATTACCATGATATTGATTATAATTATACTTTTATGTATTAACTAATCTAAACAAATCAGTAAACTGTTGATAAAAAATAACGTAAAACAATTCTTTTCTAATTAAAACGATAAACTGAAATTAATATTTATAATAATTTGATTACACTAATTGCGCTCGGGGATTGGGTTTATCAAAATTTCATGATCAGTAAACAGAATTCTGCTAATGTGCTTGTACTTTTATTGTTACTCATTTGTTTCGGTTTTATTTCATTATTTATTAAGATTATCAGTGTCCCTATATTATTACGTCTAAAGAAACACACAGAATTTAAAAAAATACCTAATACTAAAATAAACTAAATTCAAGTAAATTATTTTATTTTCGTGATGATAGATACTTCATTAGTAATTGCTCCACCTCCTCCGATAATCACACATACAGCGGCTACACCACAAGACTCGCCAAATGCCGCTTATGAATCAAGAGATTTTCGGCGGTTTCAGTCTCTAACACCGTATACGTTTTTGCCGTTTGACACAAATGGAAGCGGATTTTCAATTGATTCGATTGACTGCTCAGTGGTTTGTAAAACACTCGTTACATATTATAAGTAGTAACTAGTGAAATTACGTTTAAACTTTATAGATATTAAAACAATATCATATAAGTAAAAATATTATTGCACAGACGAAAATCTCCTCTGATCGTTACAATTTAGATTTAGTAAATATTATTAAGTTACCAGTTATTTAATAATCAATAATCAATCATTTATGCACAATGAAATAAAATATGTATACATTCTCGAAAACATTTCGCATTGTTTTTTTGTTTTTATTATTTGGTGTATACTATATATAAAAAACACTTTATAAAACACTTAAAATATATTCAATACTATCAACCAAATAATTGATTTATGGTGTATTTTAACCTATTTTATTTATTGCTTGAATTGTTAAATTGAATGTAGTACGAATAAAACAACTTTTTTTAACGATATATATTTGAGTTGAAATGATTTTTAAAAAAAAGTAAAACTAAAATCAAAGCTTTATTAAAATTTATCTTATCTGAAAACAAAAACTATAGACTGTTTAAAAATAAATATGTTTATAATAATAGCCAATAGGTACAAAATAAGTTATAAAATAATTTAATTTAACATTTTAATGAAGCAATTTAATGTGCTGAAGATCAAATTAAATTTGTGTATTCTTAAGTTTTTAAAATCATATAAATATATTTCTTCAGTACTTATTTTTAAAAAAATTTATGATGTAATAGTATTAACTACACATTCCGTTCTATATAATATATCAGATACTCATTCATTTTTCCTACATATTATGAAAAGATAAACTTTTTAATATAATCAATGATTAATATAGTTGTTATATATTATTTATTATAGCGTTCGTCAACAAATAGCTTGCAGAGTGTTTCTAAGTTTCCTAAAATCAACAACAGAACTCCGCAGATCGCCAGTCCACAAAAGTTAGTAGTGAATCAAAGTTTTGAAACTATACCGGAAGACATTTCTTATAGGTAAATATAATCTATAAAAGTATGTAGCTAATTCATTAAAATATACTTTGCGCCATTTAATAGTGTTTAAGGTTTGTTTAAAATATTATTAAATTTAAAAAGAAAATTAATTAAGTTGGAAAGTTACTCGTGGCATAAATTTAATTTCTTACGTGTGATTTTGAATCATAGCGCTAGAACTTACCACATACAATATCATAATATAATTAATTACCTACGCTTGTTATTTTAATATTTAAAGCATAAAAGAGTTACATTTTTAGGTTTTTATCTTTGAAATATTATTTAAAAGTGAAAGTTTGGACTTGTATGCACCCTACTTTATAGTTTATACCCTGGTGGTTCTTTACACAAAGGGTTTTTTATGATGAATGGGGGTCCTGAGAGTTACATTCTAAAAACAATGGACAATACAGAACTTCTATCTTTTGAAAAATCATGAATATCTTGAAGTAAATTAAATTAATAAGCGGTGTTTGAAACGTAAAATGTCCGTGTTATATAATATATTATGAAAGAACGTTTGAATTAATTTTCAGTTTGTATATTATATCTAATAGTGTTGAATCTTACGTTTAAAAAATATTCTTAGTTTAGTGACACGTCGTGTATTATAACCATCGACCAATTTTAGGAAATTATGAAATTATTTTATCTCCATTTTGCCTATGCTCATTATTTCCATACATCTGAAAATAATTGTTTATGATAAAAACTTAAACATTTCGTCGCTATAATTAACTTGTATTTAGTATTTAATAAATATACCTACACATTTATAGTATACTTATCATGTGCATCTTTATCTTATAAAATAAATATTAATTTTTTTCCTACAACCCTTTTTAACATATGATAATATATACGTGTAATGTAATACGCGCAGAATGCGTGTAAACGTATACTGACCATCGCTTTGGTAAACTGTGCTAACACTAGAAGTATATTGTTTATAAAAAAAAATAACTGTTTACAGTGGAGAAAATGGTGAAAAACTTCAAAGACGATATTCGTGGAAAATCTCGAGACCCTCGTTGAGGCGAAAGTCAAAATTTAGTAACGTAGAATGTGAAAGTGACGACCAAGGTATACTGGTTTTGAACAACAATAGCCATTCAGTAAACTCAGGGTAAAAAAAATATGTTTATCACATAAATATTAAATATATAAAAATATGTTTCAGTGAAAATATTTTTGATAAAGTTATTTTTAAAAAAGCATTTTTATACAAATATATAAATAATATTATATTTTGTGGTTGTTTCGTATTTATAGAGGTGGACAAGACCATTCTCAATGTAATGGCGGCGTTTCCAAAAGTCCATCGCCAAATTTCCGTGCCGCGAACAATATGTTATCCGAATACAATACTACTGAAAGGTCTCCATCCACTGTACAGCAGGTAATCAATTTAAAATGCAAATATTTATCAAGTACCTGTAATTTTAGAATATTAAATATTATTTTGGTTTAAAATTAAATAACTTTAATCTCAAGAATAAATAAATCCCACAGAAAACATTAATTAATCATACATTTTTACTGCTAAAAAATGCAGAACTTTAAAAAAGTAAAGAATTTTTATTCAGGTACATTATATAATATATATATTAGGGAATTAAGAATAAAAGAAAAATAATTACAGTAAAAATTTAACGGTTTTTAATTTTTATCAATTGTACACCGTACAATATACATGTTTTATTTCAAACGAATTTGTATGGTACTTAAAAAAGATATTTAGGTTATATTTTTTCATCTCTTTAGGGTAAACCAAAAAATTAATTTAATACTATTGAACTCAATTGCACTTATCTGAAAATCTGAGCTAATACAAATACAGTAGAAATCGGTTATAACGAGTTTCAATGGCCAGTTAGTTTTTCTCGTTATAACCGGTAGCTCGTTATATGCGGTTAGAACGAGCATTCGTTGTAACCGATTAAAAGCGGGAAATACAAAAATAAAACCGACAACTTTTTTTATTTTACTTATAATCGAGATTAATACTGAATTTATACATGTATGCACATACACTATTTATACATTATTACATACATTTATTATTAATTATTATAACTGGAGATTTAATAATTTATTTATCAATACAATATATTACTTAAACATAATTATAAAACACTTGAATTTAATTTCTTAAAATAATCTTTGATCAAACTTTGCTGCGTGTATTTAGTGTTGATCGATGTTTCTAATAAATACAACGCTTTTCTTTCAGCATCTGTACCTTCATATTTTGTGTAATAAAATCTTTCTAGTGTCCTCAATGCAGCACGAGCTTCGGATATTGACGGCACAGTTTCAAACTCATCATCAAGCTCATCGATATCAGTATCATTCTGATAACCAGTATCTGGCTCAACTCGTTGGTTGGCTATGACATTGTTGACTATATCTTCATCCGTTTGAATTTCTGACGTTATGAGGTCGTCATCAATTTGTACGTAGTTCTCATCGATGTCATTAATCAATACACTGTCTGCTTGTAGCTGTGTTGTATCGATCGAAACATTACAAAAACCTGCATGCCGAAAGCAGTTAGCAATCCCCGTCGATGTTACATTACACCAAGCTTTATCCAGCATTATTATGGCATCCAAAACAGTTGTTTTTGATTCTACATGATTCTCAATATCCTCAATCATTTTCATTACTAACTGATTCCGGTAATGAGCTTTAATGTTCCTAATAACGCCCTGGTCCATTGGTTGAAGTACAGCAGTGGTGTTGGCGGGCAAAAATATAAGTTTAATAAATTTCAAATGCAATGATGGGTGTGCTGGACAGTTGTCCACCAACAGAAGAATTTTTTTTTTCTTACGGCGTAACTCATCATCCCAATAATTAAGAGTTTTTTCAAAAATTGCTGAGGTCATCCAAGCTTTGGTATTATTTTCATAAAATACTGGAAGTGATGAAACTCTTTTAAAACACCGAGGGTTTTTCGACTTTCCAATAACAAGGAGTTTTCTTTTATCAGTTCCGGTCATGTTGGCTGCCACTAAAACTGTTATTCTGTCTTTCGATAATTTTCCACCCGAGCATTTTTCCCCCTTGAAGCGAAGAGTCTTATCGGGAGTTAATTTGAAAAAAAGGCCTGCTTCATCGGCATTATAAATTTCATCATCACAGTAACCTGCTCGAATGGATGGCCAAACGTTAGCCAGCCAATTAGAACAAATATCAGTATTAACTGCAGATGACTCACCTGAGATCTTGCCGAAACCAATGTTGTGCCGCTGTCGGAAACGCTGAATCCAAGATGCAGAGCATTTGAAATTTTCTATTTTCATTTTTTCAGCCAGTTGGTCAGTTTTTGCTTGCAAAATAGGACCACTTATAGGCACATTCAATAACCGTTGTTGTTTGAACCATACTAGTACAGCTTCTTCAAGGTCCTTATGCTGTGCAGTACGCAGTCGTTTTGCTTTAAGTGACGTGGTTTGAAACATATTTTTCAACGGATCCCGATTCTTCCATATGGTTGAAATTGTCGACGAAGAGGTGCCAAATTCTTTTGCGATCACGCTGTTTTTCTCGCCATTTTCTAACCGCCCGATTATTCCGATTTTTTCGTCCAACGTAAACTGACGACGCGACATGGTGGAACGTCTTCACACAACTGACGCTATTTGTAATTTTTATTAACTTGAAAACACCAGAATTTGTAGGAATAATGTTTATTTTTAATAAGTAATCCATATCTACACAACTAAAGATAATATATGTCAATGGTTAATCGACCTAAATAATAGCCAAAAGTTGTTATTTTGCAGGTACCTGTTCGTAGTAACCGGAAGGTCGTTAGTCAAGTTCGTTTTATTTTACTCGTTATAGCCGATAACTCGTAATAACCATACTCGTTGTAGACGTATATTTTAACATACAATCATATGGCCTTGTGCCGGGACCTAACGTTTTGCTTGTTGTAAGCAGTATCTCGTTCTAAGCGATGCTCGTTATAGTGATTTCTACTGTAGTAACATATTACATCATATTGTTTACATAAATATACTTTATTAAAAACAGTTAAAATTTATATTTCCCTAGTTTTATACTTAAATGGTTCATAGTTTAATTGAACTGATTTTACCTGCGTAAAAATATATTAATTATTACCACTTAGCAATAATTTCTTATTTACGTTAAATTAAATTACTTTTATGATGAAAATAAGTAATATAGATTAATCGTTTATAAAATTCAAATTTTTAAAACAAAAAAACCATACCATTTACCTATATAGAAAAGTTTTTGTTTTAAATAACACAAACCTATGGGTATGCTACCATAAAAATCAATTTAAATTAAAAATAAAACAAATGTCACTATGAAAAATATATGCGTATTACTGTAAATACTAATATTATTATTAAATATGCGAGATATAGAAAAAACAATGTTTATTGAAATTAAATCTATATTATATTGTTACCGTGGTGAGTGGTGACTGGCGGTTTTTTCAGCCGTGGGGCTTTAATCGTGTGGTTAACTTTGAAATCTAATTATCAATCTCCCCTCATTTAAGAATCTCGTGTACGCCACTGGATTATATAATCCCAGGTTTAAATGTATTAGTTCGCCTCTATAAATAGACAATATCAATGTATATATAAATATATATAAATATATGTATTGATTGTAATATAGAAAGTTATATTAGTAGGTTTATAAATAACGGCGTTTACAATTAATTAAAAACAATAAATCATCACTTTTCAAAACATTAACGCTCGGGTCGATTAAATGATAATTCGACACGGGATATAATAATATCTTGGAAACAACTTTATACATTACGTTGTGGTATAATACATAACAATAATGCAATTTTGGGTACAGTTATTATAGATACTTACGTTAAACACCTTATACGACACCAAAATAAATAGGTACACCTCTGATAAAGTAATTAACTATAGGTACTCAATGTTTTTTTTTTTTTTTTTATAAATTTCAGAAATACTAAAATCTTGATCACTTGTATTTATTTAACCATACAATATAAATATCGATTTTTAAAATGTTAAAAAAAAATTTTAAAATGACTGAAAATTCAGATGTCGAATTTCTTTTGTAAATTTTTGTAAGGCTTCGACTTAATAAATGTACAACAATTGCTTATTTGTTTTAAATAAGTGTTTACACTCACTGAACTGTGAATGATAAACTAAAGATCGCCAGTGCATAAATCTTTGACGTCAAAATACAGTGACCATTAATAAGTTGGTTCGTTAGATTTAAACGAATCATTTAATCTACGAAAATATTACTATGACCGTCCCGACTGCGAGAGTGAATTAAAAATACTCGCTTGCGGAGAATACCAAACACAATCGTACGCGAAAGTTTACAGACTGGGTTTTCGGCAGAGAAAATGAACTTGGTGGGTCTAAAAACAGTAGAAACTCACACTCGAGTAGCCACACGCGGTATGTATATACAATAAACTATATAATATATTGCGCGACGTAGAGTCGGAATTTAACTTACAGCGAAATGATGTAACGTCACGTCGTATACATAACGGCGCCACTTTCATGGTGCCGTTGCCGCCGGAGAAAAAGTAAAATAACACAAAACATAGCCAGTAAAGTTTTCGAAATTTAATATTATTGTCATTACGACTTTACACTTCGGGGAGAAGGATTATTTACACCACCGACCTCGCCGACTTTCAGACATACGTGACGCGTACACGACGCGTCTCGGAAAAGGTCCAAACAGAAACCGAGGGACGTGTATCGTCGTTGAATTTTGTTAACGGAATAAAACCCCGTCAGACACTATTACATAATAATATACTACTGTCAATACTCTTCACACTATCTTTATGAAACGATATATTTTTTTGATACCGTTAGTCAAACGTCTTGAAAATAATATAATTTAGTTCCAAAACTAATATGTACCTGCGTATGTCGTATAGTTTCTCGTGACAGACTGACACAAACTTTTAAATCCACGTACAAACTAGTTACATCATTATACTCACCGCAGTGTAAACCATCGATAGCAACTAAAGAGAGCTTAGCTCAATAAAAGCCCACCTCCCTCCACCCTGAAATACTATGAAAGATATATTTTATTTAACGAATATTGTTCAAAGAAAAAGTGCTTTGAATATTTTCTTAGTAACTAATAATGGTAAATACTCGTATAGTGATTAAAAATAAAATCCGAAAAACCACTACTGTTGATTACTACGATGCGTATAAAGCTATATTATTTTGATGTATTATGTTTAAAACAAAAACAAAAGTACAAGTACTTTTGTAATATCAATAACCGTTATGTGATCGTAACGATATTGCGTTTTCGAGCGAAGTAAAAATAATATTTTATCGATAAGTGTTTTTAAATGTTGAAATCCCTTACCCTCCTTTTACGACCAATGGATTTTTAGGTAATATTTATATCATCACGCCGACGTTTTTCACGTCTGGTAAATAATTTTCTTCTTTTTTTTTACCATCTTTTACAGAGCACAGTCAATTACGTTCTGGCCGGTTGTCAGTACAATTGCTGTCAGCCGTGTGACACGGAAGGGTGTGCAGGGCCGGCGGACGACAAGGCGTCTGAACCGTGTTGCGACTGTGACGCTGAGTCTAGCGCGGCAAAAGTAAACGTCCGTAAGGTGTTCTATTTCTTCGAGGAAAAGGGTTGGCTCAAGGACCGAGCCGAATATTCGCTGTACATATTTCCGCCGGAACACAGGTAAGCCGGAAACAGCACGCGTTGTACACACGTCACACGTGCCACCCTGCCGTTTATATTCAAACAAATACAATTTAATAATATGACAATACATTACAGAATCACCACTGTTGTTCAATGACACACTCGTATGTCTCACGTATTATACATTAAATATATTTTCTATATTATTATATACTATAGTGCGTCTGTAGAAAATGTGGAAACTCTAAATCTATATAATGGGTGGTTGCAGGATGGAGTGATTAAGATAACACGCAACCGTTATAGATTAGCATGACAATAGTATCGCTGCGTAAATGATTGACGAGGTTTTCAATGTTGGCTCCGATGTAGAGTGTTTATTAATGGGGGAAGAGATTTAATAAATTATGAACATACGTTATTAAATTCTGTAGAATCCGTGTAATTTTATTTATATATATTTAAACCCTAAAGAAATATTTGAACAAATTTGTAAATTATAAGAATAGAGGGGGAGGGCATTTTTGATTATATCGATATAGGTAAATATAATAATACGAATTATATTAAAAGTTAACAATTATTAAATAATATTATTTTATTTATTATGATTGAAAATCAAAATATTAATAAAATATAACACAACTTAGTATAAATAAAAAAAATCTATTAAACAACTTATCTATTATGTACCTAATTATTATTATCGTTATAGTTTAACTTAAATAATATAATAATAGGTACTATAATATTATGATAACCTAATATTATAGTGTAGTGAGCTTTTATTACTATATAAAAAAAAATATTTATATATACGCCCATACTTTTATATATTTTTTATTTTTTCTATTGGAGGAGGCGTTGCTTTCATATTCCCTGGTATCAACGTCCGGTCTCATCGTGTCTCCCTATTTTATCATTAAATAATCGGGAAAACAGGAAATCACTAGTGGGCTTTATTGTCAAATGCAATACATATTGTTATTTGCTATGTAACAATCGGCTATTACTCATTATATATTTTACTATTTATATTATGATCAATAAATAATATTGTTAAATTATTTTATTGTTCGACTAGGTTATAAATTATACTTTATAGTAATAAACTATTACAATTCGTAATCATATCTTATTCCCAATATTTAAATTTACTGTCCCTAGACATTATGTATACATTATACGCCCGACTTCCTCTCTTTAAACTCTCTTCTATTTTAGTTTCGTACGACTATGTCACATAACGTTAATGCATGTAATAATAATAACAATATTAAAATAATATTCGCGTAATATAATTATTATGCTCACACACGTACACGGGCCTTATAAGCCCGACACGACATGTAATCATGAACAGTCGTATTATGCTATGCACTTTTGCAATTTCGAACGTGTTGTGGAATGGAATATTGTATTATTTCGAATAATCGTCGTGTATGGGATTTTGAAAGTGGACAGCATATATGGTACATTTTTTGCTATTTCTACAGCAGCATTATCTATTCTATATTAAAATATACGCGTCTCTTGCAAAGAGGCACACCGACAAATTTTGGTCAGTTATTTTTTTGTATGTTTTCATACGTGAAAACGGATAGAGTTAAGTCGCCCTTGGAACTACGGCAGTAATTATCTATTTTTAGCAGCTTATTACTACTCTTTTATCCAACGATTACCCATCATCCGCGATATTAGTGCGTTAGACTTAGTAGGTATATAATATGTTTTAATAATATTTACACACCGTATACTGTTGGCTACATCCTCTTTCGCGCAGCAAACACACCAGACCGACGGAGGAAATGAGTTTTATACAGTACTCCCGTATATAATAATAATATATAAACATCCTGCAGCATATTATTGACCACCGATGTCTGTTAAAAAATAACTGCGCACCGGCGGACCGGCATGCCACACGACGACTCACGAATAGAAAATTCCATACAATATTCATAAGTTAATCTTTCCGACCCCCGCGGGAAAGGATTTAAAAACAAACAGTGTATTGAAATAATTATAAAGGTGTTTTATACGTGTGTTTAGTGAATATGACGGCAGGGATGAATGTACGAAATTCTCGAATTTACAAATAAATATCACTACATCCTGCGAAGTACAAATATTATTTTGTTTTGCGCATATTAATCCAATATGTAGTATTACCTGATCACAGGGAGATTTGCATAATTACCCGTAGCCCTTTGACCGAGTCCAATACGATACATTCTCGTGTATGTAACCACAATAATAAAAAGCTACATTTATACCATAATATACCATACGTATGGTATGTACTGCATTCTTTTACAATAATTTTAAATAATAAATTTGATATATTATAAAATATATCAAAAAACAAGAAATTTTTTTCTACCCATCTGTAATTAAAGGTATTGTAAAGCCCATTGAAAGTAGGTATATGACGTAATAACTATGGTTGAAATAAAAATAAAATAGTCAATTTTAAAATATTAATTAGATGATTGTGACTTTTCAGTAAATATGTATTATATGTTTTGTAATATAACTTTCGTTTTAATATACAATAATAATAATAGAACTATAAAAAAAAATGTTAGACAAATAAATTATTGGTTAACTTGTTTTTGGTGCAATTTAGTGACTTACCATGGTAGGTTTCACTATGTTTAAAAATATTATTTTTTTGTTGTTATAAGTATTGATTCAAATTAACTAGATCTAATCTAGTTAACCTACTCGTCAAGTTTAACAAGTGTCTCATAATTAAAAATATAAAATTAAGTATAAATGTTATTTTAATTTTTTTTTTTTCATTTGTGCTTTCTTGATATAAATAAATAAGTTATTTTTTGATAGCCGTACACTGTTATATATACGCAAACTATATGCAAACGTAGCTAACTTAATCTGTGTTTGAAATTTAAATTTCATCATTTCAGATCAATACAAAAGAAATGATAAGAAGTTAATATTTTATCGAGTTAAAAGAATACCTGACATTATTAAGTTATAAAAAATAAAATTTGTTAGATATTAATAAAAACGATAAACTTATTACACGTAATAGAATTTCAATTTATTTTTTTATTTTTTTTTTTGCTGATTGTCTCACTGATTTTATTTTTCCCTAGTTAATGATTATGTGCCATAAAACCTTAGTTAATTTAATTTTACTTAAGATTGAATACAAATCAACAACAATAATTAAGTGTCTAGATATATTCTATACAGTACTCAACTCTACACTTCCACTAAAAAAAAAAAAAGAATAATCACCCCAAAACTTAATAATCAATATTATTACAGTATCGTCCTTAGTATATATATATATATATGAATATATTGGTATTTCTAGTACAAAACTTGTTTTAAATTATTATTTATTCTTCGTCATTTTCAAAATTAAAAATGTTACATATATCTCATGTATTTTCTGAGAGTTGCAATAAAAAAAAGAATTATCTTGCATATACTCGCTTATACTGACGGACTGTGTATATAATCAAGTTTCAGACAATCATGTAGAAAATTCATCAAGCAAAAATGGTTCGACAACGCAGTGCTTACTTTTATAGCATTGAACTGCATTACATTGGCCATGGAGAGACCGAACATACCGCCAGACAGCAACGAGAGGACGTTTTTGGGTACGGCCAATTACGTTTTCACCGTGGTGTTTGCGCTCGAGATGTTTGTCAAAGTAAAATTGGCCTCTTTTCGGATAATAATTTATTTATAACTACCGCCATCGCGGACCTAATCCGATTACGTTGTTATTTGTTTGTTTTTTGTTGCTCCCCGTGCATTTGATTTGTCGCCGCGCCACACAGGTCGTAGCTGCAAGCATGTTCTATGGCAGTGAACCATATTTCAAGTCTGGTTGGAACATCATGGACGGATTACTCGTAGTAGTATCCATTATAGATTTGCTCATGTCATTGATCTCCGAAAGCAGCCCAAAAATATTTGGAATACTGAGGGTGAGTACACAGTTTTTTATTAAGATATTGATAGACGTGATTAATATTTACATTACCTATATGTTGTTTATTTCACAACTCGTAGTGTATGTGTGTATGTGTGCTTGTCGCATAAAATGAAAAATTTACGTGACCATTGTCGTTAATGCGATATTATAGAACATTTATTGAACAGTTTCTCAAACACCTACCTACAAATCAAAAAAAAAACGCGAATTGCGTATTCCAGTTATTTTCCGTGTTATATAATAATGTTACGCAATACTACAAAATTAGATTTTTTTTTTTTATTATTGCACTGTCGCGTAATAAAATCTTGTTAAATGTTCGCAGGTGTTTAGACTGTTGAGATCGCTGAGGCCGTTGAGAGTGATCAACAGAGCTCCAGGCCTAAAATTAGTTGTACAAACGTTGCTGTCATCGTTGAGGCCAATAGGCAACATTGTACTGATTTGTTGTACATTTTTCATAATTTTCGGTATTTTAGGAGTTCAAGTGAGTACATTATTACAGAGATGTATTTAATCAAACTTGTAATACGTATAAACTTTTGAATTTATTATTGTCTGGCAATGAACGTTCTACGAAAATACGTTGAAATTAATTTTATTTTCTAATTATTGATTAAAAAAATGTTAAAATTAATATATACTTATTAAAATAATTGTAATTTAAATTTAAATAAACTTTAATACACAAATTTTAAACCATTATTAATTAACACTGGTTATAAAGGAAACAGTTTATCTTTTGCACCATTAAAAGTTAAAAGAAAATTAGATCTTTTAGAGTTAATCTAATTTAATTCGATTTTGTAAGATGATTTAATTTAATTAAATATTTTATAGATTTAGAGAAAATTGTTTATTTTTATATTTTAATTTTAACATTAACTACCTAATAAATTCATATTTTTTTCAAAAATTAAAATTGATTTATTTTAATTAGGTAGATACCATATTATTTATTATTATTTTTTTTTTAATAAAAAATAAACAATTTATACATTTTCTGATCCAAATCTTGATCTAAATGGGTTTATTATTGATAAACTGTTTCATAGTATTGTATATTATTATATGTAAAAGAATATTTTCACAGAATAAGACCAGAGTATAGATAAGTTAGACTCAGTATTCAAATTCTATTTTTTTTAGTATGCTTGAAAATTTACATACTTAAATTTGATATTATGATATTCAAGGAATATTCTATGGTGATACAAACTTTTTTTTCAAATAACAACCACCCACTTTTACTGTTAAACTGCAGATGATTTTTTTGAAAATTTTATTTATCTAAGTCAAGATTCAAACGATTAGTTTCTAAATTATTAAATTTTTTTATGAATAGTTAAGTATAGTGTAATAAGAATAATAACAGTTCTTAATGATTTTACAAAATTAAAAAAAAAAATAGGTGTGATATTGGATCCCGTATGTATTATTATACTCAGATAATTTTTACAAATTATATAACGTTGATGTATTAATAATTACTATTATTTTAAAATCATCATAGATTCCATTGCTTTCGAACCTATTTTCATGAATTTATTAATTATTTTCTTAAGTACACTAAGTTAAATAATTTAAATACAACAAGTCGTGTGAATTTCAATTTATGAGATTTCGTACGATTTTCGTAGATACTAAAAAAAAAAAAAAATTAAAAAATTTGATGTATGAAAAAATGTTTATTTTATAATTTGGCTTAAATCATACATAAGTAATATAATGTATATTTAGAACTAATACTAATTCGGAAATATATCCTCTAGTAAACATCAAATCATACTAAATCAGTAAACTTGTCTGCGTAAAATACATAACTTGACGGCATGTTATACTCTGATGTAATTTCGTAACCGTTTCAATTAGCATTTAGTTTGTACCCATTAAATCAAATTTGATATTAAGTATCCTAACATTATACTCTATAATACAATATAACATTTTAGTTTGCGTTTAGTTATGTATTAATAGTTCTGCATACATCGCAGCTTAGACATGAGTCAAAAGCTAATGGAGTGTTGTTATGAAATAGCGGAAATTCATATGCCATAATGTATGTTAACTATATAAAATGCATTAATTGATAATTAAGTAAAATAGATAGCAAGATCAAAAATAGTCAGAGAAACATCAACTGAAATTATATTATCAATAAAGTTTACTGTTTGATTTAATTTTTACAGTGCAGTCACTAACATTCTTTTGAGACTTAACCAACTCAAATAATAGTCCTATATACAATAAATCGATAAAAGCTCGGAAGACAAGAATTTAAAGTAGTATTGTTTTAAATGTTCATCGATTATTTTTGTATGTAATGTTATTATAACAATAATTTATATCTTTATCGAGAAACTGTTCGTTGTATTATTGCATTCGCTCGTTTCACTCAAAAATATAACGCCATCGTCCTTTACATTGAATTACTTAAATTAAAATACTGCTTCCAATGAATACTTCGTATCAACATTATTAAAACTATAAATTTAAAACTCCTATTCGATTAACAGTTATAAATAATAAACTTCCCTCTGCTCCCACCAAAATACTGACTAAGTATACACATCATTGTAAAACCAATACATTCATCACTCCGCTGAGAATCTTAAATAAACTTAAATAATTTATTTTTCACTTATTTCTTACTTAAAACTCATTTTCAAATTAAAATTTGCTGTCTTAAAAATAAAATGTGAATAATTGTTTATTTATAAATCACTGTAGCCCGAAATGTAAAATAATAAATTATAAATTATAACCCGAGTGATTACATTTTTACCACTATACGTTATACTTTTTTTTCTAATAACACGATAAAAATATATGTTATACAGTAAAACTATTCTATATAGATTATAAATATATGACGTATAACTTCAAATTATTTTATGGTCATGTGATGCTTCAATGGAATGAACAATTCATTAACAAAATGTATGATTTAATCAAGTGCACGGTACATAATGAATTTTATAATTAATTAAAATAATTGGCATATTGCTGATTTTTATATTTTTGCTTATCGACGCATACTCTTGATATTAAGTGATCAAATTGTGTTACTGAAGTCAGCTATAATATAATACACACATCTAGTACCTGATATGCAGTTTTTCAGATAAATATTAGTAGCACAAAATACTTCAGCCGAATGACTAAATAAATTAAAATATTGATTATTGAAAAAGACAGAAGATATTAAAAATTATTTTTTTTTTTTTTAATATTGAACACTTTTTTGGTGCACACATTTGCAATAAAATTTATTTTTTCTTCAGAGGAAACATTTATTAATATTAGCAACTTTAAATATACATATTTTTTCAAGCAACGTTGATGAATACACTTTTTTGATCTCATCAATTGGCTGACTTGCTGCAATTTAAAGTTTCCTCTTGAATGTTTTTAAAATGTGGGGAAATTTAACTTATTTATGTCAAAAAAATATGACTAAATATAATGAAAAATAGCAAAATAAAAGCATCCGGTAATAAAAGCACATAAAATTAAATAATATCTATCAAACAACACCTTACTTTAAAATGTTATTTAATTTTTTTTTAAATAAAGGGAGACAAATATTTATTTGAACTTTAAATTTCTATAAATCAGTGAATTGTCGAGATAAAAAAAAAAAGAAGTGAACTTATGAAAGTTGTTTAAAAAATAGTGCCATCTGAATTTCATAACAATAGTATGTGTTACCATTAAAAATAATATAGGTTCTATTGCAAATATGTATACCAAAAGAGAAATGATTTTGAAACTTAGACCAAAATGTATTAATTTATTATCTATTATCTTCATCAAAAATTGCTATTTCAATCTAAAGCCACCTGATTGAAATATTCTGTATTACTATTTAACTGAAACACGCTGTATACTCAATCCTATTATATTATTATCTATTAAACGAAAAGGTCGTTTTCGGTATAAAAATAAAATTCGTCAGTTTAAAAAAACAAACTAATCGTTTTATGTTCTGATTAGCTTTTCAAAGGGACATTTTTTCACTGTGAGGGCCCTAACATTAAACACGTGCGTGACAAAAAGGAATGCCTAGCTGACAAAAAAAACACATGGGTCAATCAAAAATATAATTTCGACGATCTGGGCAAGGCTTTAATGTCTTTATTCGTGCTGTCATCCAGAGACGGTTGGGTGAATATCATGTACACGGGTCTGGACGCCGTGGGAGTTGATCAACAAGTACGTGAAATAAACTATCTTTTAATGGTATTTTTCATCAAAATGTGTATTGATTGACGCGCAACATTAACTGCATTGTGTATTCATTATTACTTTTGATGTTTATTTGCCCTTTTTTCCATTTTATTTTTTTTCACTCAGCCGATCGAAAACTATTCGGAATGGCGACTTTTGTATTTTATATCGTTCATACTGCTCGTCGGGTTTTTCGTGCTTAACATGTTCGTTGGCGTGGTGGTGGAAAACTTTCACAGATGCCGGGAAGAACAGGAAAAAGAAGAGCGAGTCCGGCGACTGGCCAAACGGGCAAAACAAATGGAAAAAAAGCGGAGAAGTAAGTTTCTGAAAAATACAACGACCAATAAAAAATAAACAATCAAAACAATAAACTAAAAATATACGCTGTTTTTTTTACAGAAATGCACGAACCACCGTACTATAGAGATTACAGCAGCGCCAGACTATTGGTGCACAGCGTAGTCACGTCTAAGTATTTCGATTTGGCCATCGCTGCTGTTATTGGTCTTAACGTGGTCACGATGGCACTAGAATTTTACATGATGCCTAAAGTAAATTTTTATAGAAATAACTATGGATACTATTTGGAAAAGTCTTTCCAAAGAGATTTTTTTCTCACTATATACGTTTTATTATACATTTCACGTGTACTTAAATGATATTGACCCGTATTTTTTTTATTTTTTTTTTTTTTTTTTGTATTCTTTTTGTTCTACGTTCAAATTATATATTTGTAAATATGTAGGTACTTGAAAAAAACCACGAGTATTCAACCCATTTTTTTTTTTTTACAGGCGTTGACTTACGCATTGAAAATATTCAATTATTTTTTCACCGCCGTGTTCATACTAGAGTGCGTGATGAAAATGCTGGCACTGGGACTTCAGCTCTATGTGAAAGACAAGTACGTATACGTAGATATTGTATAGCCTCACAAAAGGTGGATAAAGAGTGGAGGAAGAACTTTGATTTTAATCTCACCCCACACGCTTTTACATCATAATTTTGTATTGATACAACGTCATGACATTATATTATAATTATTATTGATTATTGTAGATGGAATATATTGGACATCGGCATCGTCATATTGTCCATAGTGGGTATCACGTTGGAAGAATTAGAATCCAAAATCATACCGATCAATCCGACCATCATCCGAGTGATGAGAGTGATGAGGATCGCTAGAGGTGCGTATAATTAAATTTAAAATGTAAATAAAAAATCAAGATATTCAAACAATAAACATAATAATATATACAATATACAATATGTATAATATAATGTAAGTACCTATGTAGTAGATATACAAAGCAAACCTGTATTTTAACATTAATTAACAGCAGCCAATGTACGTTTATGCTATAAACATTTTAATTTTAGATAAGCGGACAGATTTTTCACTCATATAAGAAAAGAAAAAAAAACTATAAAAAGTATAATTATTTTTTTTGAAAATCAAATAAATCAAAAATAATTTATTTAGACAATTATATTTTTATATTGTTTAATGATAAAAGAATCACCATCTATGTATATTGTATATTACAGTACATAGCTATTCGGAGGCTATTTCGTTTAATTAAATTTTCACTTTTGGATTTACTCTAACCTAGCCCTGCGGGTTCCTTGCGTATCGAATACACATCTACTTAATAATATATAAGCCAATAATCTTCGGTTGTACGTCGACTATATTTACGTACCTTAATATAGCCAATTAGTGCAATAACACTACGCTTGACTGTACATATGACCGTAATATCGTATTTTAGGTGCTGTGCAAATGTGTATTCACTATATAGGGAAATAAATGTCTTAGTATAAATAATACGCCAATAATATGAACGTGTGTTTTCGCTATGAAAATAAATATCGTTAGCGCATTTTATTGTAACTTAAGTGCTTATTAAAAAATATTACGTACAACGAGTTCGGGAATTATATGAAAATTGGATTTTCCTACTTAAACAGTAAACATTCGTAAATCACAGAAATGGTTCCAGCAATATTCGCATACGCGTATCGTATGAGCACTATACACCTGTATTATTACAAACAACGATGAACTTTAAACGAATATACTTATTTGTTCAGAAAATATGATTATTTACAAATTTCTCCCCGATTTTTGACAGTATAAATCTTTTGAATTTACGTTATGCATAAGTTAAGTCATTTATTTAATTCAGTGTAGTTTATTTGAACGGCTTGTATTTAAATCTAAAAACATTAGTATATATTATTTAAAATAATAATAACTGAGCTTTTTAGTGAACCAAAATACCAAGTAACATTACACCGTTCAGGTTATTTTGAGTTGATAAAAAAAAACCTGACATATTTAATTTTTTCTAAAAATACCTATAACCTAAATTAAAAAATTAAAAATAATAATTTAATCATTCATACTATTATTACTATTATATTATTTAAGTATAGGACAATAATAATTGTTATGGCTTTTTTTTCAGTTTTAAAGTTACTGAAAATGGCTAAAGGAATAAGAGCTCTTTTGGATACTGTGATGCAAGCATTACCTCAAGTGGGAAATTTAGGACTCTTGTTTTTTCTATTGTTCTTCATATTCGCCGCATTGGGCGTGGAGTTATTTGGAAGACTTGGTAAGCGCATTAAATAATTATTTCATTGTCAAAATAGCGTATAAATGTCTAAGTTTTTCAAAAACAAAAAATTAACAAGTAAGATTGTGGTCTATGTCAATAATAAAGATTACTGAATGAGAAGAGGGCATAAAAAAAAGGTTGACTTGTTTGAGACCTTATGCGTTTACACATTTGTTCAAAAAATAAAAACTTGATATGAAAACTGATATAAATACAAAACTATAAAAATTCACACGCCTTACTAAACCATAATGTCTAGATTTTAAGAATAAATATTTTTAATTTATTTATTTTGGTTATTTTTCAAATTGGTTTTATTGTAATAGTTAATTGATTTCAATTTCTTATTTAAAAAAAAAAAAAAATAGTATTATTTTAGATAATTCAAAAAAAAAAAAAAATCAAAATGAACAAATATAATTTTAAAACATTCAACATTTAAAACTTTATTTTAAAAACTATTTATTTCATAAAAAAAATTACATCCACCCAACTGATTGTAGAACGATTCGAAATCATGATTAACTACTTTTTTTAATTTATGTAATCGATGGCTCTTATTTGATTGCATATTTCAAAAATATTTTAGTGCATTAGGTTCCGAGTTTTTATCGTAAACACATTATTAACATTATCATTGTTTTTATTACTCTTCAATTTTTGTGCGTTAAAACGTTATCACCAATACATGTCAATAACGTGTTATGCACAGAGTGCAGCGACGAGCATACGTGCCAAGGCCTGGGAGAACACGCTCACTTTGGAAACTTCGGCATGGCGTTCCTGACGCTGTTTCGGGTAGCCACTGGGGACAACTGGAATGGCATCATGAAGGACGCACTCCGCGAAGACTGTGACAACGCGGCAGATTGCGTGAAAAACTGTTGCGTAGCCGACGGCATAGCGCCCATGTTCTTCGTCATATTTGTGCTAATGGCGCAGTTCGTGTTGGTCAACGTAGTGGTCGCTGTTCTCATGAAACATCTCGAAGAATCTCACAAACAAGTACGGTCATGCATGCCTTAAAACGCGGTATTATAAGTATACAAATCATCTTTGTTATTCGTTGCCCAAAAAGGTATATTTTTGATTTCTAAACCACGTCCTATAGATCTTTTCCTAGCGAGTCTTAAGAATCTATCCTGGACCGTCCTATATCCTTACTCGTTCTCCGTCTCTTTGCCCAACAGACTGCTCTAGACACGACTACCTGACTGGTAAAATTTTGTCGTGTCAAAATAAATAATTAGGGCTCAAGATGCACATTGTCTATATGTAAACGGTCTAGCCTAATCGTATAATGCTCAAGTATTACATAATATGAATACATATTATATATATTTTACTTAACACAGTTATTATTTATATTCTGTAAGCTATTATACTCAAAATTGCGTGCTATCGCAACTTTTAGTGCCTAAGTCTATAAAAGTAGAATGGAAATTGTACTTAAATTTAATTATAATAACGTAATAATTTAAAATTAAATATTTTCTTTCTAATGAGTGCAATGGGTATATAATAGGTAAAAGTAATAATAATTATTAAATTGTATGATTTATTTAACTAAAAAAAATAAAAATAAAAATATTTAAAAATAAACGAATTTAGTTATTATTAAATTATGTCATATATTTAATATAGCATGTGAAAAATCGAAAAAGAATTTCCAAAATAAGTGTCTAAAAATAAGTAAACATTAAGTTTTATGAAAATATTTTCAAATGAATAAAATTTAATAAACATAATCACATACTTCATATTTATATTATTTTTACCTAAAGTATATAGTGTATACATTTAAGTTTTATTTTAAAATATTTATTGATCAAATACAGCCAATTTTTAACCATATCTATAGTTGTATAACTATTTTTTCTCTTTTCACTATACTAATCGTTGATATGCTTATTTGTCAACCTTGTGTTTCACTTACAGTAGCATCATACTTCAATGTCTATTTACTGTGTATTATAAATTATACAGTACTATGTGTAAAGTACGATTTACAGTTACAATATATTAATATCAATCTATAATATATATGTAATATGTATCTATAACGTATATTACTGAACAAAATAACTGGCGTAATATATAACATAAATTATGACAATTCATTTTAACTGGTTATAGTGCTTAGACTCGTTGTCTAAGTCAATTTTTTGGTTTAAAAAAGAACAAATATTTTTATATAATTCGAAGAATATGAAAATATATTAAAAATTATGATCAACTAGAGGACCTAATCAAATTATATAAATAGAACACCCAATATATTTTTGTTATGTTATAATATATATTCATTAACTTTTGTCGTTAAAATGATTTTACACCAACACTCGATTATTCAAATTATTTAACCATCGTATTTATCATAGCTCCCTGTTCTAAATTAATATCGTTTGTTTCTTAATAAATATGACAACCGTTATTATAAATTATTTTTGTTATCATTTGTGTTTTTCGTTCCGAATGCCGGGTCAACTTATCTTCGCCCATAATTATTATACTCAAAAGTACCGCACAAACGGTAAAAGAAGTTTAAATGAAAAATAACGATGCCGGTCAAAATTACTGTCCGCGGTACAATGATGACAAAATCGTCTAAACAATTTTTATATTTTACTCGGATCCCTTTAGACTACAAAGCTACAAAGAACATAATATACGTATAAATACAATTAGTTTAAATAAAATTTATGCATTAAAAACAAAACCCTAATCTCAGAGGAATACGCGGACCATCAATTAATCGATTATGTTATAAATAAATCATATTATTGTTATCGATTATTCATTACAACTTTTTTACCATCATAAAAATGTACAAATATAATATATTGTTTTCCGGCGTGATAAACTTTTGACTATATTTTAAGCCACAATGTAATAATATTTTCGTTCGAAATTTCTATATGTGTGCTGTGTATAACATGCAGTTCAGACAAAACTCTCGAGCTAATAAAATTAGAATTACCGCTATTTCAATTTGTATGCGGGATACCGAGCCTTAAATATAATCTCCGTAAAATCGTTTATCCGCGTACATTCCATATATTCTAGAAATGATAAAAAAATATATTACAATAATGTTACTGCGCGGTTATTCGGTTCAAATAACAAATATTGCGATAGTAACAATATAAACGCCAAAGGAATAAAATTTTCGATTCGCAAAAATATTAAGGTATCCGTGTAAAATGTTCGTTTCATCAAAAAATGCACGCAAAGTGTATAACACAATAGCATTAAAATAAAACAAACGAAAATTTTTAAAATGCCTTCTTCAAAGTTATATGAAACATATTAATATGAAAAATGTATCGCAGAACCACCAAATAAATTAAATTTGATTATTTTTTCGCAAAAAAACATTGTATACTTTTATTTTGCTCAGTCATAATTATTTTTATCTCCAAACCGTTTTTGTAGGTAATTATTTGAGTTTAGTAATGATTTAGTCATAACTAATTTTAAAATATTACAATAACAATAATGCGCAATGCATTACAGTGACACGAAGTAAATGTTTTAGCCAAGCGTTAGAAATTATTATTTCAAAAATTTCGTAGGAATTAAAAATGCCTACGCGTGCATTTATTTCTATCCGTAAGAAGAAGTACCATGTGCTTCCGTTTGTATCCCGAGCCTGACACACACGCAACATTGTTATTAATGGTATGGTAGTGGTTATACATCAACACAATGTCATACAGCGCGTAAGAGACAACTCATTTTGTGATTCTAAAACTGAAATCACTCAATCGAAAAATAGCTTTTCTAGTATAATTATAATTCCTTTTTTGCTAACATTTTCTTTATTATAGCCGAACTTTAAAAATGTACAGAATGTAGCACATTATTTGGCGTTGCGCGCTGGATTTAAAATGTTTTAGGACGATAAGTGTAATGGATTTATATATTAAAACGAAAAAAATATTTTTTTAAATTTTTTTATTAAGTTCCGTCTTTTTTTGTAAATATTTTAAGCTCATATAATTTTGGTTTACAACACTCACAAATCAATTACTTAGCACTTAAAAAAAAAAAATGATATATTTTATTGTTGAATATATATTGAATACTTCAATATTCTACCAAATTTAAATCTTTTTATGTTTTCTTCGTAGTCATAACAATTTACGCAAAGAAGATTAAAACCCATAAGTTAATTGAACGATTGTAAAATTTTTTTTAAATATATTTTTCAACGCAGTAGTGTAGCTATTTTGTCTATACGATACGCCGATTAACAAATTAAGTTTGAATCGTATCGTGCTTAAAATATTATTCAGAACTAAGTTCGGGTTTACAATTTATAATTTAATATGATATCTTAATATCTTGATTATCTCACACGGGATCAAGAACAAATTTAAGTGCCTAAAATTAAAAACTCCATTTCTTTTTCATTTTTCGTAGATGGAAGACGAGATGGACATGGAAGATCAATTAGAGAGAGAAATGGCTGCAGAAGAAGAAGAACAATTGGTTCAGATGGCCTTAGACCACGAGTACTCGATTCAAAATCCTTTGTGCAAAGAATTTTCACTACCTGCTGACTTTACCTTTAAAAGTTTACCACCTTCACCTCTATACCAAAGTAAATCAACAAAATATATTTTAAATTCTTATGTTATACAACGGTGCATAAAAATACGCATTCCGTGTCTATAGTTTAGCGTTGCGATGGGTCTATTTACTTACGTAATATATTGGTTTTTTCAGTTGTTTTCAGTTTTTTAATCAAATTCTGTTATATCACACATTTTGTATCGTGTTTAATGACAGGTCAAGGACGGCGGTTTTCTTTCAACTCTTGGAGCGGTAGGATGACGGAACCCACTATCGTGCCGTCACAGAGGAGACGTCAGACCGTCCAGGAGTCGAACATGCTCGTTCCTCCGGCACTCATGCCAAATTTCATGATTCCTCATTTTGAATCCAGAAACCGGAAGTCGTCCCTGAGCGCGCAACCACGGAACGATGTAACACGATCTAAACATTTCACGTCCGCCCCACAAACCGATAACGAATCGTTTTTTTCTATCGCTCACAGGTCACTCGTAGGGACAGCATCCGGAGTTCCGGTTCGCAGCGACCGGCGACGGATCAACTGGACGCCTCTGGTCAACAGCAAAAGCAACATTTGCAACAGTTGACGGACTGGCAGTCGTCGGCGAACCAGGTGAAGCTACAGGCCAGGTGCGTCTCGGAAGCGATCGCCGGCGGTCAAGCAACCGGAAGCGAGAGCAGACGCTCGAATCGCGGAGACCCGGCGGCAGCGGCCAAGAACAATAACGGCACCTCCGCTACCGCGTTGCTGACCGTACCGGTGGCGTCCAATCAGAATGCGCTGGCTCCTCCGCCGCCGACTCCGCCGCCATCGCTGTCCCGGTCGTACGTCACACTGGCCATACCTGAAGAGTGCGCCGTCGACGTGCCGCTATTGCGATCCCGTTTTCCGGTGGCCAGGCGACCGGAAGACCCGACCTCGTCCGGTGTGACCGCCGCTGACAGTCCGGTCAACACGCTCGACGTGCGGATCGAGGCAAGCGTCAAGAGAAAGAAATGAATAGCTTTTCTGCCGACACTATCGATATAATGATACTGTTATTATCATTACCATTTTTATTATTACTATTATTATTATTATTATTATTACAATTATTGTTATCATCGTCGTCCTCGTTATCGTTATCATCGTTGTCGTCGTCATTATTAATATTATCATAACTACGAAATTCGCATATCCCGCGGTGTAAACTATCATTATTTTTGCAATTTTATCATTTTATCGCGTATATACAGAACACTCCACTCGAGACCGCATACTCTTTGTCAGGAAGAAACGTGTCCGCTATGAAGAATAACTTATCGTCAAAAGTATTTCGGAGTAGCGTATCGCTAATATACAACGCTTTAGTAAATATAATATATATCTATGATCGGGCGTTATCAGTTGCGTCGAATACTTTAGACTACCCGTAGATGCCTATCTATTTTTAACGCCAGTAAATATAATACGATAAATTAAAAATAAACTATAGCAAAATATGGCACGGTAAATAATAAATAAATCAAAGGAAAATCGAATCAACGTGCAATCATAAAGTAATGCATTTCGCGTAAGCTATAAAAATATTATGACTTCACCTTAAATTAATATACGTACGAGACCGCGATGAAGACGTATAACCCGTCAATCATTCAGTCCTTAAAGCTATACGAATCATAAACAAACGTGGTCTTTGAGATAACTATAATTTTTACAAAACTAGAAGGTCCGAATTAAAACATATACCTAGTTTAAGTTTCACCTAAAGTCTATGTGTTAACTTTTTTTTATGCTGTTCAATTTGTTTTTTACCCAAAACGTTTTTCTTTGGCACAAATTATGTACATAAAAATACTCTAGCAGTCGATGGTGCCTGTGAAACGTGATTTTTACGAGGCGTTTGTTAAAAGTTGCCATCACGCACCGGTCCGTCGAGTATAGTTCACGTCTTCGGGACGTGTCTATAATACGTAATGATACTACGAGTATACATATTGTATTTCACACCTATTCTGATAGTTTCTCGTCATCACGAATAAATTGTATATATATATTATATTATTTTCTAATTTATTATAATTTATAATATCTTTATCGACTTAAAACCCATTTTAGTTGTATTCCCTTAATTCACATAATAAATATACTACCAACGCTTACAGCCATCTAATATAATCCGATCATTCTATATATTATGATAATAAGTATTGTATATGACTGTTTAAAAAGATTTATCGATTCTGCCGATACATTTTGTTTTAAAAAAATTGTATCGACTAGATATGTTTGACTTTTTAAAAAAAAAAATTGTAAAAATCAACTATATTTAGACTAAATTTTTTATATTAAAAATCAATATTATTTATTAGGTTAATGTATAATTTAAATCGTAATAAATACGATATAAATACATTATGTGATTAATTTAGAATATAATTAGTAAGTAAAATTTATGTTAAAAATATTTATAATTCAAAATAATGATTTATATTGTTAGGTTGTTCAACGAATACACTACTATCACTTTTTTACTTAGCTTATAATAATTTTCAATATTGATATAAATTTAGGGCTCGGCAGAATCAATATCCGGTGGAATCGATAAGACATTTGATTATATATAATTAACTATAGCCGACGGAGTCGATACAAAATCAGCGAAATAAATGTACATAAGACGTGTCAAAATTATTCTGATTAGTTTGTATTTCACTAAAACGTGTAATTTATCGTAATATTATTAATTGTAATTTTAAGTGTTTCCCAGATGAATTTTATTTCTCTGGGAATTTTTAAATATTGAATTATCATTGACCTCAATAAAAACATACGAACAAAAAAGAGTAGGTAAAGTTATTATTTCAAAAATATAGTTGATTCTCGAAAACCATTTTCTTTACCTACTCCATACTATGATAATCATTAGTTATTAGAAAAAAACATTATTAAATCAATTTTAGGCACATCGTTTTATGAAATATAATATACCTATAACAATTCTAGATAATTAGATAACAACTGTTTACCTCTTTCAAAAACTTGAAGAAATATTATCTTTGTTATGTTATACTGTCTTAGCTACCCATGGGTAAAGAGTTAAAGGTGTTCAAAAATGTTTGGTTCAATATTAGCATCAAGTAATCTTTTACTTTTATTATTAATATTGACCTTTTTATAAATCATTTTAATGTAATTTTCAAAAATCAATTATTATTATACTAATATATTAATTAATCAATAAAATGAACAAATAAAGTTATTTTAATTTATTTCAAAAATATAAATTGTTAAATACAAAACAATTTACTAATGAAATTTGTGAATTCTTTAGGTCACGACTGATTAAAAACTATTACCTAGCTCTAGCGAGTTAAATGCTGCTTAAAAATTCGAAACTTTTCTGAATATTGTTCTTGAAATACCATAACATTTGTTAACATAAATGTATAAATCTAAAATTCTTATTTCTTAAAAGAACACGTTTGTCTGTTGATATATAATACAGTATGTCAGATTGTTAGGACATGATTTCGAAATTAATACGATATAATGTCCTAAAAACTCAAGTTTGTTCATTATTTCCATGAAAACGTATTTAATAAACTCATTTAGCTTTACTTATGATATAAAATAACATAAACAGCGCATACGCGTAATACATGTATAAATATATATTTTTTAAAGTAACATATATTTATTTATATATTTGTTAATACATATTATAATTTGTAACTAGATAAAATTAGTAGTTTCAAATAGGAATTCAATAACGTAACTGTACAATTTGTAAATGTATATATTTGTAAATCTAATAGAGTAAAATAATAATAATAATAACATGTAAATATTTATACTTAATACGTGCATAGTGCGTACATGTTATTTTAATGACCAGACACCATCTGTGTTGTTTTTCTAGATTTTTATCGAACACAAAACCATACGAATATAATTATTTCTATCAAAACATCAAAAATTAACGCAAGGTAATCGATTCGAAACTCATTACAGATAGGTAAAACAGTCGTTAGATACCTATACAACAAGCATACGCGAGTCCGTCAAAAAAAAAAAAAGCCGCGCCACCTGAAATACAAATTTAACGCAGCATCGAAATAGTAACACAAAGCCGATTTAAGCCGCGTATTTATGTGAAACCGTTCACAACTAAAATGGAGATAATTCGTAAAATGGTCTTGCGGGAGGTTTTTTTTTTTGGTTTTTTTAATTCTTGTAATTTCGTCTAGCCCGATGATTCTAACTATAGATACCCCGCAAATCGTAATCACTAGTAGAATGTTCCTCAGCCGCGTGCGAACAATTTACTTTTTATAGTAATGACATTCTAGATATTAAGTAGTAATAATAAAATAATAACAGTAAAATATTATTGTGCCATTGGACGTTTGTTTTCGATTATAGAATATAATATAATAGTCAATTTCTTTATTACGTTGTATACCTTCCTAGTGAAAGTATTGATTAATATAATATTATTATATGCTACGTCGAATCTGTGATAAAGTCAAATTTTTAGATACCTATCGCCTTCATATGTATCTAAGTATATTATATAGAAAGTGACGCATTTTAATGGCAACGCTAGTTTTTTAGGTTAAAACGATTTTTGTGTTTTTGGTTCTTAACAGTACTCAAAACTATAATAACGTTATTTTTTCAAAAACACAAAAAATCATTTGAAAAATTAGTGTAGCCTTTTAAATGGATCTCACACTGTATATGTATAGATAATAATCTTTATATTATAATATTATTATTACGCGAATATCTGATTTTGTATTGTTATTTATTTATTATTTTGTTTTTTTTTTTTCTAGAAAATGTAAAATCAAAATCGTCCAAATATGATATTATATTAATATCTAAGTTTGTGTAATTGTGTGTATATTATGTTTTATTGTATGTCTAGTCTTTAGATATTGATTAGTGATTTTCTATGAGACTGCCTATATCTTAAGTACATAACATTTATTTAGCATCTATAACAATAATTATTATTATATCTATAACATTATTACCCCGCTTGTATTAAATAACGTAAATATTTAAGTAGAGTGTAATGATTTACGTGTAAAAAAGTCTATACTACTCTACTCTCTCTCTCTCTCTCTCTCTTTCTCTCTCTCAATCACTCTCCGTCGAGCTCTTTATATCTCTCAAACTGACATAATATTATTATTATTATTATTATTATTATTATTAATTATTATTATTATTGTACAATTTTATTATTATACTATTACTGCGTTCATTATTATGTACTCTTAACGAATAGAATACATATCTTTGACAATTTTTGTATAATTACCCTATACATAGAATGTCTGAGTTAAGTAAAATTCTTTGGTGCCTCGAATTTACAACTCACAAAAATAATAATTCGTAAAGATGAATAAATTACCTTGAAACATTTCCTATTCATACTCAACATACCTCATCGGTCGTCCCTCGCAAAAACTTCAAATTATTTTGACTTAGATTCTTCAGAGTTATAGATACTCCGTACTATTATTATTATTATTATAACGTATTTGGGCGTAATTGAATACAATTATTATATGAACTTATACATTCTCAGAAAATTTATAATCTGATACAACCCCATTCATAACGTTTATAACAATATCTTACCGATATTTTATATTACTATCAATATTATTTATTCTTTTTATTTTTACCGTACCTAATTATTATACTCAAGTAACATAATATTGTCCTCAATAAGTTTTACGTACAAAAAAATCAAATTCTGGTTCACACTATAATTATTCAATCAAACAAAACCCAAATCGAGTGAGCAGCCGAATTCCCTCATACCCCCTCCAAAAAAAGGCCACAATTAACTAAAAACTTAATATTATGGGTCCTTACATTTACGCAAAAGTACATTGAAATGTATTACTGTGTTTTTTTTTTTTTCAATTGAATTTGTAAACAATTAATAACTAATAAGTAGACTTGGTAATGTTTTGTAGACGGTGTTAAATACATTAATACATAATATATACTTAAATTTTGAAATATAACGATTCGCAACTGTTGTTTATTTTAATTTATTATGCGTTGAATAGTCTCTTTGTGTGCATTATAATTATTCAGGTCATAGATATTCTAAAAAAAAACGAGCTCGCGTTTTACCATACTACGTTCTGTATAATATACCTGCGTTACAGAGTATTTTAGCGATTTAAGTAAAGAAAAATATTTTCTTTATCCCCATGTCCCTTATAGTGAAGAGATGCGTATAAATTATACAAAGGTTTTTCCTGTGGTTGAAACATTATTATTATCGGTATACTATTATTATTAATTATTATTTTTATTACAATTATTTATATATAAGTTTATAGGTAACTTGGTAACTACTACAATAACTAGGTATATTATATAAGACCTTATTATTATTATTATTTATCATTATACAGGCCAACCAACTATATTATAACACTATTGATTCCGTAAAAAACAATACTGTACGATGAAAAAAACCGTAAACATGGGTGTATTGTACGTACTTTAGAGAAACACGCTTGTTATTAGCATTTGTTCATCGTCGAGTACATTTTTAATGACTACCCAGGATAAAAAATTTAAAAACAGTTTTTATAAATAAATAAAATTTTTATTTTTTATTACGTCATATCATATAACATGGTATTTTGGTGTGATGTATTGAGTACAACTGTCATAGTAATTATATATACGATTATACGTACCAAATTATACATAAAAAAATCATTATTAATCGTCAGCTACTGTAAGGCACATCAAACAGCAGAAATGTAAGTAGCATAGAATATAATCTTAACACGTAATTGAGACACATATTTATTAAGGATGCAAATACGCGGTCATGAGTGTAGCTAGGATTTTAATCAGGGGAAGGGGCAGTTGATAACCTTTTTTTTTTTGCTTTTTCAATTTTATAGTAAAACTTACACGTTTGGTATAAGAAATTAAATTAAATTTGAAGTGCATAAAGGAGGGAAAGTGCCCCCCCCCGCTTCATCATTGCTACGCTTATGTACGTGGTTACTAATTATTATCATCGCACGTCGTTATTTTCCATAAAGTGCATAAAATCGATATCTAACAGGCGATAACAATTCAAATTGTTATGTCTTTGAG